AAATGATGGAATAATAAAGGGAAATTGTTAGAATAATCATAAATAATTGGAACAAGTTGAATAACAAAAAGGTCAATAAACTATAAGCATAACAAGTAATTGAATAATTTAACAAATGTTTGAACAGTTAATACAGTGGATTAATATAGAAAATACACCATCAAGGATACTCAGTCAGGATATGACCAGAAATATAATAATATCAGTTTAATATTAATTTATAATTTGACAGGTAAAACACTCTTGTTTTTATATCAATTGATAAATAATTTTTTTTCATGTTTTATTCATTGTTTATATTTTTTTCGATAATAAAACCCCTCGTATGCTCACTTATCATTCAAATTTGTTGAAGTGAAACCAGCTGCCACTCCATTCTGAATAAAATCATTGCAATTCTAAACTGCTATTATTTTTTTATTATTCCAAATGATTTTTCGATATTTTATCAATTTTGTTTATTGTAAAAAAGAAGTGAAAATTAACTAATGTAATATTTGAAAACCAGACGAAAGAAGTCTTTTCAATTAAATGATCAAGATAAATCATTTTGCCTAGAGAATAATGTTGTATGGTAGTTGAATTACTAATTTCAATTGTTTTCCACAAATAGTTGATTGTTTAATTCCATTTACGTTGAATATTGGGCGAGTTCGACAATTATTTATGTAAGAGTATTCAATAGTATACTACCTAATTTTATTCAGCCAATTTCAAAACCCACTAAACAACAAATACAAAACAACTAAAGAAAACAGTAATGAATTTTCAATTTATTGATCTGTTTATTGTCTGTTTACCGGAAACCAATTAATACTATTATCATATAATATTTGATTTATTGATAGTTTAGTATTGTCTTTCGTGTTTTTGAATTTTTTATGATACAATCAATTATTTAAAAATATTTTAATAATAAACAAAATTATTTACTTTTACATATTCATCAATTATTTTTTGCTCTACAGAATCTAAAGTTTAAATTTCGTCAATAATATTTTAGTTAAATCTACCTATGAAAATAAACTGACCAATTATCTTAATATATAAAATTTTTGTTATTACTCTAAAAAAAAAAATGATTTATCTCTGAATAACTGTTTATTCTATCATTCGAGAATTATAAAAAAATATTTATTTACCTGTGTATGTCACTGTTTAATAGCATTTCAGAATAAAAATCAGTACAATATTGACCACAGCTTGTTTATAACAATAACAATTTGTTATAAATAAAAGAAGTAATATTTAAAAATAAAGTAGTGTAAAAAGTACAATTAAACAATAATGAAGAGTTGTTGATTAAAATTTTCCAAAGTTTTATGCTGCAGTGGATTATGAAGATTGTTTGTTAGTTGAACAAAAAACAGAGCAATGGAGATGGATGATTGACGTTGAAATAACTCCAGACCAAGTATTTGAGTGAGAATTCTTGTTTAAAATTCAACCATGAGTTCACGATATTATTTATTTATTGTCAGATGCAAACATTTTGGCTAAATAATCTCGAGATAACTCCAATTTAACAAAATTGAAGATTCTTGGTAAACAAAAAAAAAGAAAAGATGTCTCTAAATAATCTCTTTCATGGGAAAAACAATTTTTATTTCTGCCAATAAAGCTTTGTATTCATTCGAAGAAAAAAATTTGTAAACCTCTTTCATGGTTAAATCGTCTGTGTTTTTGTGAATAAATGAAAAAAATTGATCCAACAGATGTAACTTTGTTATTCATATTCAGGGAATAAATATTTAAAAAAGGCACAAAACATCTGTAAAAAAAAAAGAAAGAAACACCATTTCAGCGTAATGATTTATCTCTCTAGAATCACGTACATTGGGTATCTACTTCGATGATGATGTAGAGAGGAAATAACAAGAACTTATTATTTTTCTACTAGGATAGATTTTTTAAATAGTTACATTGATTCATTCTGACAAAGCTGATACTGGTTGAATAAATATCTTGGACATGTATATAAAAAAAAACCCTTCAATGTACCTATTACTAATCATTACACAATCTTTACAAAAATTTTCCAATAATATAAATTCTTAACAAATTCCGATGACCAATAAGTCACAGCATTTCCAATGATTAAAAAAAATAATCACGTTCTAATAATAAAAAAAGTTAAAAAGATTTTTATTAATTATAAGACAACCAAGTATTGTTTTTAATAATCTCAAATCAATTGAACAAAATTAAATTTTTTTTGGACAAAATAAATTAATTAGAACAATAATACGTGTATTATGCATTTATTTAATGAGCATAAAAGTGCATAAAATTTAAAATAATGCTAATTATGTCATCATAATAATAAAATATCTAAGAAAACCTAGAAATTGAGGATTATATTTAAAATCATTGATAAAATGTACTAAGTAATAAAATATTTAAAATAAAACTTAAACCTTCGACACACATCTTCTGCTACCCAAATCTTCTCACGTCCTGACTGCTTTCCTTTCACTCCCACCTTTCATGCATTTAATAAAATCTTAAACATAAACTTAAGTAACAAACATTCTACTTCAACTCATAGCATCATTCCCCTGACTCATTCTCTATTCTTTGTATTAAGAAAAATATTTTATCATCACCCCTAAACTTTTTTTTATATTCTCATCTATCCTTCACTTAATAAATAAATAAAACTTGATAATTTTTTTTTTCTTCTAAAATTGCTGATTTATCAATAAACAATCACGTTTTTCGACACCACTGATTAAATTACAATATTTTAAAATTTTAAAAAAAATTAATTAACTATTTGATAATATTTATTGTATTGTGACGAATGTTTATTTATCATTCAACAATATTAATTACTTAATAAAAAATTTTAATGATCATAAAGCCAATTAGTACATACGAAGCCTTAGGAATAAAACTAAATTAATTTTAAATACCTGCAGATTTATTTTAGAAAAATTTTTTAAATCTTACACAAAGTAAGGTCATACATTTAAACTATCTAAATTAACAGATAAAATAATATCGTGTTTGTTTACGAAGACCATTTAACTAAACCTAAACAATCATTGTCCGACTGCACGTTGATTTTTATCACTGAAACCTTGGTGTGATCACGAAGAGTACATCTACCTTAAACAACGTCGAATATTCTCATTGAGCATGATAGTACACTTGTGATTATTGATATTTCGTTTCTATTTTTATCATCTATCCACACGATTGAACTTGAATAATTTCACCAGAACAATGTAATAATTTCAATAAGTGTTAGTACTTCAGTCATTCACACCAATCAATTGGTTAAAGAAAAAACAATTAAAAGACGTCGATGTGTGGAATAGGATTAACAAAAAAAAAGAGAAAAGTGAAAGCCAATGAAGAAAATGAAGTGGAGTTGTAAAGTTGAGATGACGTCCAGCAATGAATAATAAGTTCAATTTATGACTACTCTGTTTCTTTCGTTTGCTTTACTTCTCAGCCATTTTTTTCTCCATCTTATTCACTTCTATTGTTATATTTATTAATATCATGTTTTTAAATTAAACTCCTACACATCGAAATTAATGAAAGAAATATTGTGCTTTCCAATAAGCGAAACCTTTCGATATCTCAGATCGAATCTAGCCTGTGGAAGACAGCTTTTACGTGAACGGACTTGACGTAGAAAAAAAAAAATAAATCTTAAGGTAACTTGGCTAATGTAATTTTTTTATATTGGAAGAGAGTTTAATATCAAGTCTCATAATATTTAGCAGAGAGTTGGTTAAATTTGAGAGGAAGAAACTTCGTTAGTAGGAAATGTCCGTGGGTGGTCAGACAATAATGAAATTGAAAAATTTACAAGTAAGTGTTTTATTATAAAACCAATATTTCACATGCAATATTAACTGGATTTGCATTGGTGTGAACTTCATTTAGATTATACGAGAGTTGGATTATTCATTGAACTTTCGAGAGATTTAATAAAATTATTTGGTAAAATGGAGTGCGAAGGTGAAAATACCGTAAACAATATTAAAAATTAATGGCATTTGTTATCAATTGTTTTTTTCTTTTTTTTTTTACCTATTTGAAATGATGTTAAACATTTTAACACTACAATTATCACAGTTAATTTTGAATAATAAAAATAAAATCAAGGGATTGTGGAAAATTAAATATTTATAAATACTTGTGATGGAAGAAAATTGATTGAAAGAAGAGTTGAGAATTCTTAGAGTTAAAAATTATAGCAATAGTGACATTTATAAACGATAAAAAGTTGGTAATATTTATCAAGAAATGAAAAATGTTGTATAGCACTATTCGATTTTAAGCTGTACTTCATTTATAAGACATAAATTTTATGATTGAAATACTGTGATTTTCTGTTGCTTTTGATGTAAGAAATCTCAAAGAAAATTGCACGAGTTTTTAATTCATATTATTTTTTTAAATTGTAATAAGCATTATTTAAGTAATAGTATTTTAAAGCAATTAATATTTACAAAGACTAGAATATTAAAAGTTATTAAATTTGATCTCTTGAAATTAAGTACATTAAATAAAAGAATCATTCTATTATTTCTCTAAAAACGAAAAGAAAAAATGAATGAATTTTTTTAATAATAAATTTTTTCAATGAATTCATTTTTAATTAAATAAATATTTATTAATGGACCTTTTTTTCGTTTGGCATCCGATTGTGAAAAAATAACGATATGTATGTTGAGTAAATGTTTTGTTGAACGGAATATTTTTAATGAAAACTAGAGGGAAAAAACTTCAAAGTGTACATTTATAAATCACGAATTTGTTGGAGATGCTAACAAAAAAAATGCATCAATACTTTTTGATCATAAAATTGGCTAAAAATTTTTTTTTCATTCTTTATAATGCATAAAAATGTATAGAGCTGAGGTAATAAAAAAAAGGAGACTAGGATCGAAATAAATAATGAAAGTAATAAATAATAAAAATTTTTAAAGTATGTCAACGAACGTTGTAAAAGTGTTCCTAAGTTTGAGACATGAACTTACATTTTTTTTATTCGAATTTTCCCTTAATATTTTCACAACATAAACCAGCACGTGCTTCACCGCGTGACGCTTTCAGAGTCTCGAATGGAATGCGCGATGAATGACGGATAACGGTAAACTGAAGCTCGTCTTCAAACTACTAGCCCACTAGCCCTCATTGCCAACTCGCTTTTCTCCCTCTCCAACCCCTTCATACGTATATATATATATAACTGTATGTATATATGTATATACACTCTTTATATATATCTCAACCCCCAAGAACTTTCCCCCTACGCTTCTGTCACAAGAATCTAACATTTAGAAAGCGCAAGCGCCATTTTCGCCCGCCTACCTCAATCCGCAAACACCTGTCAAACAAGCCGGCTTTCGTTCTTCATTTTTATCCTCTTTCCTACTCGATTTTCTACCCTTTCCGCTTCTTTTTTTTCTGCTCTGCATTATCTGACAATGACACCAAGAAGCTCTTTAATAAAATCTTACTCAAAAGAATAGACATCAGATAATTGAATTTATTTTAAAATTCAGCTTTTTGTGGAATCAAAAGCAATGGTTTGGTTGAAGTCATGAGTTATTTATTATTTAGATTTCTGGAATTTTTAGCGCTTTTAATAATTTTTTAAGCTTTTAAATTGTAAAAAATGAAACAAAAATGTGTAATTAAAATAAAATTAATTTTTTTAATGACTTTTTTCTCAATTAATTTATAAAAAAAAAGCTCAGATGAATACAAGGCAAGTGCACATTATTTTCTATTGCTAAAAAATTATAAATAATTAATTTATATTAATTCTTTAAAAAATTTATAACATATAAATAAATTTTAAAAAAGCCTTTAATAATTATTTAATAAGTTAATTACCAGAATATACAAAAAATACTTTTTATATTAAATATGATGGATGGAAAAAAACAAAAAAATTAATAAAAATATAAATAATAAAAAATAAACTTTCATTGAAAGAATTACATATTTTTCCATTAACCAAACTTCGCTTGGAAGAACAAAAAATATTTTACTACATTTTAATAATTTATTCATCTTCTGGGTGGCATTTATTTAGTGGTCTTACCACCCTAGATTCAACTAAACAACAACCAAATTATTCTTAATTTCAATATCCATTCCAGTTATTTACCCAACAATTCATTTCTCGTTTCTAATTTATTTCCTGAACAACTACTGATATGCCAGTAATCATTAATGATATTTACCAAGCTCTTCATCAACATTAAAACTAAAATACCTATCATAAAAAATATTCTATTGATTATCATTTATCACGATCGTTATCACGACTCTCCCCCTTATTATTAGTAATTGTATCATTCAATTTTATTATTATTATATATGTATATATAAATTATGTAGTGCTTGAGGTCGTTTCTTGATGCCAGTACATTTACGAGGGAGTAAACGGTTAAAGATCAAATGGGACGTGTAGTCAGTCAGAGGGTAGAAAATGGGAGTATAAACCACACGCCATTACCTTACTCAACAGAACACTTCGTGTATATGTCAGAACATCTTCCTCTGCAAAACCATTTCCTTCTTGTTTCTATCTTTACTTCCTGAATACTGGATTTAGATTCTCTACGTGAAAAGATACTAATCTTACAATTAATTCCACTTGATGCACTCTTATACTTTGGAAAATGGATGATTTATTAATTATTTCCTATTTTATTAAAAGAAAACCTTTCTAAATGTCATTAAATAAAATTAATTAGTTTTCGTTTTAAATATCTATTAATGCTTTTTCAATTAAATTGCGGTTGGCCAATTATGAAACACAAACTTTTAAATTATTATATAATTTTATTGTGGATTTATAGTTGAATAAAATTCGTTAAAAAGAAATAGTTGGTTTTCTACGAATCGATGAATTGTTTCCGTTTGTAATGAATATATGAAAAAAGTTTTAATTAATAATGGATTCAATATAGGCTAATAAAATAGAAGAGAAAAAAATATTTAGCTATCAATAGGGATTAAATTCGACCTATCAAATCAAGCATATGCGAATATTGTAACGGCAAATTGAATAATTTTAATTAAATTTTTATGTTCTGAGTAAAGAACTTCACATTACTTGAATATTATTAATTAAAAAAATATCGAAACTTTATTCTGCCGGGAATTGTTTTTAAAATTGTAATTAGATTAATGTTGATATAAACAATTGATGTCTGAAGTAAGAGGCAAAAATGAATAGTCCACTTCATGATTAGTCGATTTGTATTAATAGTAATTACCATTTTGTGTAATAAGGAGAACAATTAGATGCTTTTGGCGTTGGTAATAATTTTACTCGTGGTTTGAGTTAATCTATTTTTCCTCTCTAGTATCGTTTCCGAATCGTACATATTTTCTTTATTTACCACAAAGTAATGTTAACTAGGAAACAGCTAAATATTACTATCATAAATACAATTGAAAATACTTGTTCACTTTTAAAATATGATTAAAGAGATATTAAAAATAAGATTTTATCGAGTTAAATGATGGTTTATTCCTGAGAAGCAAAACAGAAATTTGTTGAACAACTAAATGAGTTGTCACTCTCTCTTTATCTTCAGTATTTGGCTTAAAGTTGAGCGGTTCTCGAGGTACTAAATCTGTGTTACAAGTTCTCATAAGTGATTTAATTACAAACACACTGACTTCCGAATAATCGTAAACCAAACGGGGACCTGGGGGCTTGGAGATTGTGGGTCGATTTACTTCTTCCTCTAGAGTTTCTCTGTACATAGATTCGTATTATATATCTATATAGATTTAGTATAGATATAGATGTACAGATCTTCAGTATTTACTTCAGAGTTTCTCTCAACGATCCTTCGAGCTACAACTCCAATTAGTGATGGCTCGTAGACCACTTCGAAGTCGTGTCAGGACAAATTTCTTTGGTCTAGTGTTACTAAATATAATAACATTACCTATGATATTAAAGTGAAAAACAGAAATCTAATTGAAATTATTTCATCAATTATTTCTTCAGACTCCCATTACTTCTTTGTAATTTCATTTTATTTCAATTTTAAACTGAAGAAGCTCTAATAAAAATTCATTCAGGAACTTGTAATAGGTTCAAATAATGTAAAAATACTGGAAAAGCTTCTTCGAGAAATCATAAAAACCCTAGAAGAAAGTATTAATATTCTTTAAAATCATTCTTTATTTTTAAAATAATTTTTATGATATTTTTAACTTCCCAATATGAAGTTATCTTAATGAAATCAATTTTTAAAATTCATAATTTTATCGTATCTTTACGTTTTGAGACATTTAAAGGCATATTAGAAGGTTCAAAAATAAATGTATGTACGTACGTATAATTGTACGTACGGATAAACATTAATTATTAATATTGTTGAAAACTGAAGTTATCAACTAATGGGAAGTTCATCATCAAGGCTCAAAGTAAGCCCAGACCCATTTTTAAATATTAAAATCATTGATGGTTGTCAATTATTGATTAATTAACAATGATTAATTCTAACTTTGATCATTGCACTGTAATCTATTGATTTTATCTCTACCTAAGCCATTCTGAAATCAATTAAATAATCATCTCCAAGGAGATCAGCATAATCAAAGCTTTGTTAACACTATTGATGATTAAGAGTTCTTTGTTTAATCTTTTTTCATTTTTGATAAATTTTAATGATAAAACTATTATTTTTATATTAAAAGTAACTTCTCTATTTACAATTATGTCATTAACCATAACAGAATATATTTAAAAATCATCAAACGATTACTTGAGTGTCATTGTTGTGAACAAATATTCAATTCCACTTATAACCACAGCTAATTTTTTTTTTTTTTACTTTTTTTTCCGTTCTCTTGTGGTATGAAAAACCACAATTATGCTCTTTTTCACTTTTCATTTTAGAATTTTTTTTTAAGCCACAATTTATAGCGTCACAAAATGCTTATTCAGAGAATAAGTTAACATCAGTGCTATTTTAAAAAAATAAATGAGGTATTTTTTAAATAGAATTTACTTTTGATTAGCTTGACAATTTTTTTCCTGCTCTTGTTAATCTTGTTTTATAGGTGGCAGTAAAATAGCACTAATTATTACAAGGAATTTAATTATTATTAAAAAAAAAAAGAGTTTTTAACTTAATTTTAATAAAATTCTATAAAAAGCTTTGAAGTTCACCTTTTCTATTTTTCTCACTTGGAATAAAAAGTAAAATACTATTTCAACTATTTCATTGTTATTAATAAAATTTGAAAAGTATTTAAAATTAATTTAAACAACGACATGAAACAGGAATATCAATGAACTTGACATGAAATTATTTAAATATAATTAATCTAACTATTCTACCATATTTCTTATCCCATTTCAGTCAATTTTCTCAACGCGTTGATCTATCAACTGCTTCTAAGTTTTATGTAACGCTACAACTATCTCTTGAATCTCAAATTTGCATAATATGCCGCTTATATACTGATATTAAACTCCATATACTGACGCTTCTCTTATTCTTTAGGCAGCTCGTCGTAGTTTCGTCTTCGATGCTTTACCAAAGTCTTGCCAAGCAGTCGGTACAATGCGTCACATCAACTAAGATTGCATTGAATAAGATGAAACGTGTGATGATGTTCACACGAAGACACATTTTGTGGCTGTTCAGCTCTCTAAGGATTATGCTTTCTGAGACCAAAATGAGTGACAAAATAACACAATTAGCAAGTAATGAAGCATTGAAATGGAATTTTATGAACTAGATTAGTAATAAGTAATAAAAAATAATTTAAAAAATATTAATAAATTACGTAAAATAATAGCAAACAATTAAATTAACAAAAATCTCAATTTTTTAAAATGTCTGACTAAATACTGATTATACTACTGTATGAAAAAATAGTTTTTTGCTTCATTTTTTGTTTTAATTTCACTCATTAAAAAGAGAAATATTTTTGGATTTTTAGTTTTATGATTATCTAGTGGAAATACAAGAGCTTTTTTCACCAGCAAAACAAAAACTTTATTGTTATTTATAAATGTAGAATTATATTTTTAATAAAATTAACTTTTTTTAAATATTTGGTTAAATTAATACAGCTTTTAAATTTGATACTCATTGTTGTTCAATAATACTAGAAATTTTTTTATGATGTGCCATCCACCAGTTTACTACCTACACATTTTGTACTTCAATCCTACATGTCAGTGACGTGTAGGCTCAATGTGGGCTATATGTGGTTCATGTTACAAACAAGTTTCAAACTCTAAAGAGGTCAAGAGGTCAAGCCTAGAACTTTCTGCTTCTAATATTGATAATAATTTCTGAATTATGCTGATAATGATCTCATCGATTGTACAGAAATTTTCATAGTTATGAAATACACTAATCAGTCCGCTTAAAATTGGTTAAAACATTCCTGAAATATCTTTGGGGTTTAATAATCGATAGCTTGTGAATACTTTTAAAGAATCACGGAATGGAGTTTAACAGTGACACTTAAATATGATCAAATAGTTCACTAATTTTTCATTCGTTTCAATTAAAAACAATTAGACGAATTGATTTATTAATAATCAACTAAAAAAAAATATCTAGGGAATTAAATTAAAGAATAATTAATTGATAAATTCATCATAAAGATAAGAGGTGAAATTTTTTAATCAAATAAATTTCATTCATTAGACTAACTTTTGTTGACACATATTGCGGAATAATATTCAGTCAAATTCACAAAAAATATTTACCTGACCATGAAAGTGGATTGGAAAAATATCCATCATTTTAGTGTAAATTAAACTCATGTAGGATTACAGTCTCTCACTTTCAATCAATATTTGTTTCCAAACTTCAAATTATTTATAACAACAATAATGAATAAATAACAATTGATTAATCGATTATTTAAGTTAGAATTAGTCTAATCGTGAATTAATAAAATCCTAATGCATATGCAACTGGTCCATTATCTCCATTATGCATGTCTTACACTAATGCAAGATGATGCTTAAGCAAGATTATTCAGAATAATTCCACTCAAGCTTCATGAAATATAAACTTATCTACTTCAGCATATGTTCGATATTGAGTAAGATTCAATGATCAAATGATGTCTAAAATCATGAAACTGATCATTGAGTTTTTGATCAGCCTTCAAGCTTTCTCTAGAAGATTACTCATGCTTGAGATAACACCTAATCTTTGGTAGATCTTCCAACAAAGACTTTGGTTGTACGAGTATTTTATTATCTCCAATATATTTCTTTAAAATCAACTAGATGTATTGGTAGTTTCACCATCTCCTCGGTATCTGGTGATAAAAGATTTCATTCATATAAAAAGAAATTGAATCAGCTACATGATTCAACTAAGTCTAGGATAAATATATGTAAAACTGCAAGGTGTTAAGCTTTCAGTATACAACCAACAAACAGGCTGCGATATAAAAGAGAGGAATTATCTTGGAATTTTTACGTATGAGAATGTGACAGAACATACAGAATAAAATCCCATCAAGTGTAGATATAGTTCACCACAACCACTAGACTTTCCACTTCAAAACATAATCCTCGGGTATTTACTAGAGGCAACTGCTGACCTCGATAGATGTTTCCGGTTCATTCTGCTATTTTCATATTCCTTCCTTATCAAAAAGAGAGGCGATAAGAATATGCATTATTCGGAAGGTTTAGGTTTAATATTGCAGGAAATCCTTGAAATTTATTTTTAAAAAACACCAGTTGTTGGATGAAAAAATAGGATTTCTTGGAATCAAATTTTCCTTCCAACTTATCTACAATAACGATGGTGAAATAGAGGAATTGCTTGATCTCATTAAAAAGTTAAATAGATCCACGGTTAATAAAAGTCATGAGAAATAAAATTAAAAGAGAATAAGTAAGTAAGTATACAATGGAAACAAGAGTTTTCCATTATGTAATAACTTCCAAATGAAAATGTCATTCAAGCTTTGGCCAATGATTATAGAAGATAAAAACAATTAAAAGTTCACTTATTTATAGGTGACCCAGCAAAGGTATGTGACAAGATGCTTGAGTCTTATTCATAATTAAGCAGCTAAATAAAAAATATAACTTAGTCTTTGCTATAAAAATAATAGAATTCGATACCGTTAAGACAGTAGTGCCAGTCGATAATAATTTGTTGATGAGTTGACGTCAGAGAATGACATGGTGACTTTTTCTGAGTAAAAATCTACTTTTAGAAGTAGAGAGAGTCTATGTCTGTGCCGACATTCTGTAATAATAATTTCAAAATAAAATCCCAGATATTTTCATGATAGTAATAGTTATTTTTAATGAATCCACATTGTAAAATTACCTAGTATGCAGTCAATAAATCCACAGGGAAAAATTTTAATTCCAAGTCAGAGTTCTTGCTACAGTGATGAGCCAATTAAACTGACTCCTGTCTAATTATGTCACCTAAAAGGATGTTTCATATATGCAGAGCTCTATTAACAATACGATTCTACAACACTGAATGAAAGAAGGAACTAAAAAAATTCAAAAGTTTTGTTCCGAGAACAATTGGTTGACTGTAGCTGAAAGACATTATGATGCATCCATGTATAAAAGAGTTCACTTGTTCACTATGTATGTTTGTTTAGTTTATTTTCTCTAAAGACAGTCAAATAGACTCACTAAATAGAAGAATTATTAATAAATCATCACATTCAGGTTTCACAGATATTTTGATGTCTATAAGTTTCTATCCTGCTACACTATTCTTGAAGTTGCAAGTCATTCAATCATGTTTAAGTTTACTCTTTCTTTAACATCAACAATTATCAGCTGTAAAAATTTTAAAAATAATAATTAAATTTTAAATATCTGTGCCTAATAATTATTTATATCATTCAGGGGTTATTGTTGGTTAAATAGACTCAACAAAGCATGAATGAATTTTTATCAGCATGTTGATGGAATGTAGTAACCGATATTACAGCTAGATGGTATAAAAAGCTTTTATCGTTAGGTTATATCCTTAGCAGGTATCCTGCACGATCAATTTTCTTCAATACCAACAACTCCTCTCTATACTAGAAAGTCAATAATATCAGTTGTTTAGTATAAATAAGATTTTATTATTCAGTTATAATTATAATTCATCTCAAGAATAAAAATGTATAATTCCTACAGAAACATGCGTAAATATATAAATTGTTTGTACACTAAAAGAGAAATGACATGTGAACTCGTGCAGTTACTTAGCATTTCTTTAAATGCTTTATTTCTAAATAGGAAGATAAGACTAAATTTATTTATAATAATTAATTAATCAATTAATAAATCATAAGTTTGGTATAAAAATACATATAGAGAAAATAATATCGCTTCTCCATAAACGTGAACACATTTCAATTTTTTTCTACATAGTCTGAACATTTTTTATATAAAAAATGGCAGTGTCGAAACAATAATTTTGAATGAAGACCTACATTCCTCATTAAATTTATAGTCATTCAGTAACCACCAGATAAACTCTGAATATCAATGGTTTTTCCCAGACTTCATTTTCGGCAGTGATTCCATTAAATGGTTGCCCATGAATTATGATACGGAATTCACCAGGCTTTTTGAGTCGACTCTTGAAATGAAGAGCCCATACATCTCCTTTGTCTTTTACAATTTCGAAATGATTGCTCTTGTTACCCTTGACTATCCTATAGTCCATCATTTCATGCTGAGAAAAAAAAAATACATGATGCTTGGATTGTGAAAAAAAAATAAACCTTACAGCTATCATCAATTTCTTACCTTGATAGCCGGCTGAAGTTTAATAATTCGCATTTTATGTTTTGTTTGGTGTAACCTCAACTTCATTGTATAGGACTCACCATGATGATGCCGTAATTTATGATTTGGAAGCTTCTTAGATAACTGTCTAGCACGTCTAAGTTTCTTAGTGGAGTTAATTTGCATCGTATGATTGCCATGTGTTTTTGCACCTCTTCTATGCCTTTCTTTTCTATTGACCTTGCAGGAGAAGCAACCCTCTGTAGAGATTATTTTATCGCCTGCAGGCGGAATGTGATAAGGATCAGGATTGATAACAAACGTAGGTACATTCCCGATGTCATCTCCATAGTTTCCAGTAGCTATGGGATTAATTGTTGATAAACAATGACCTTGTCCGATCCTTTGATAACCTGTGGGACAGCCACAAAGAAAGCCATTCGATCCACTTGGTGTACAGCCGAAGGCACAAGGACTTCCAACACATCCTGGGCTGACCTAAAATTATAAAAAATATCATAAAATATTTAATGATGTTTTTTTTTTTTTTTAGAAACGAAAGGTTTTCAATTTTTCTAAAGGTTTTAAAAAAGTTACTTGAACACAAATTTGGAGGTCATTATCAAATTGATAATTTTCTGGACATCCACATTTATAGCTTCCAATAGTGTTAATGCAGGTGCTTTCACCGCAGGGTGAACTGTTGCATTCATTTTCATCGATGCATTGATTGTAGTAGAGATGTTGAATAAATCCTTCCGGGCAATTGCATCGAAATGTCCCCATCAAATTCTAATAACAGTAAAATAAAATAAAAAACTTTAATAACATCCATCAACACTCTTTTATTATTTATTCATTGTTAAAAATTATGATTGATCTTTAAACGTTTTGCGATTAATAATTACAGAATTACTGTAAAATAATAATTGCTAACAATTATAAATTGATTTGAATAATAAAAAAAAATACCTGACATCCATGTTCACAACTTCCATCATCAGCACACTCGTTATTATCGGTACAAAATCGTCCAGTACGATCTAGCTTGAAGCCTCGAGGACAAATACATTTAAAGCTACCAAGAGTATTGATGCATGTTCCCGGTTTTGGACAGGTTCCAGCTTGATCGCACTCGTTAATATCTTAGGACATAAAATAAATCAACTGTTATAACTGGAAAATAATCTTCTTTATTTTTACTATAAATTTGAAATTATTTCTAGTTTTATTCTTTAAAATAACTGATAATCTGTTGAGATGATTTAGTTTAAAATTCAATCACTCACCATGACAAGCATCTCCGTGTTGAGTGTACCCATCTCTACAGGCACAAGTATAGCTTCCCTCAGTGTTAATACATTTTTGTTGACAGAGATGATTGCCTGTAGTACACTCATCAAGATCCCGGCAACCCACTCCATCAGGATTTAAAATAAAGCCAGCAGGACAAGAGCAAATAAAACTACCCTCCGTGTTCTGGCAATTAAATTTACAAGGACTTGGAGATAATTCGCACTCATTAACATCTAAAATTAATCATAAATATTTTAATATTCTAATCAAAAGTAATTTTTTAATTAAACAAATTATTTCAAATGTACCAATGCAATGTGTTCCTGATTTATCTGCCTTATATCCTTTGTTGCAAATACATCTAAAGGATCCCAATGTATTAATACACAGTCCATTTCTGCAAAGATCGGGGATAGCTTTACATTCATCAATATCCTGACCATCAACAGAGAATCCTTTATCTAAACATAATTCATTGTAATTTTCTGAATCTCTTGATGGGCATATTTCACAATGAGGTCCCCAAGCAGCGCCCATAGTACAACAACAATCAGCTTTAGTAATTGTTCTTAGCTCGGAAGTTCTTGCCGTACATCTTCCGCTGATTGTTCTCAAGAAACAATAGCCAACTCTTCGATCTATACAAGATTTTCCATCAGAACTAGTTTCAAATCCTTCGTAACATCGACATTGATAACTTCCTTCTAAATTAATACATTGACCATTTCTACAGAGTCCTGAATTAACAGAACACTCGTCCACATCTTTACACTCATCTGTCATGCCAATTTGTTGATATCCAGGCGGACAAATACACATAAACGAGCCGATAAGATTTTTACATTGGAATTTACAAGTATTCGCTGGAGTAGAACATTCATCAACGTCAATGCAATGTCTTCCATCAGCTGCAAGGACATAACCATAAGGACAAATACATCTGAATGATCCTGGAGCGTTATGACATCTAAAAGCACACTGATTGCCTAGTTCCAAACATTCGTTTACATCTTCGCACACTTGATTAGCTCCTGGAGCAAAACCATTTGCACAAGAGCATTCAAAACCTCCTTCTACATTTGTACAGGTTCCATTTCCACAGATATTTTGATTATGATGACATTCGTTTAGATCAACACAACGTCTTCCAGATTCATCTAAAGTATAACCTGGCGGACATTCACATCTAAAAAGGATACAATTTTTTTTTATTAATTCAGAGTAAAAATAATTTGATTTATTTTGATTATTAAACTTGCCTGAAAGATCCATCAGTATTAATACACTCTCCTCCGGAACAAACATCAGGCATAAACAAGCACTCATTGAGATCGACTCCAGTATCATCTCTTCCTGGACCCTCTGGACAAAGTTTCTTAAACTCTTCTGTGTGTTCTCTAGGGCAAATTTCACAACTTCTTCCCCAAGCTTTACCCATTGTACAACAACAATGCTTCTTTGTCATAGTACCTTCTCTTGGTGTATGACACTGTCCTCTTCTGTACCTATCGTAACACTGTTCCTCTCTGACATCAATACAAGTCATAGAGTTCCACCTATCACTCAACTTAAAACCTTCAGGACACTCACAAATTACTCCACCATCAGTATTAATACACCTTCCATTTTCACAGATATTCTTCGTCTCAACACACTCATCAACATCAACACATCTCTTCTTAGAGTCATCTAATTCATAACCCGGAGGACAGCTGCAAATATATGAACCCATCAAATTCTGGCATTTGCCAGGAAATGGACAGAGGCCAGGAATCTCTTGGCATTCATCAACATCTCGACAGTGTTGACCGTCTTGAGCCAAAATATATCCATCAGCACATTCACAGATGAAAGAGCCAATTAAATTTCTACATCTTCCATTTCTGCACAAATAAGGCATTGCCCTGCACTCATCAACATCAGCACAATCGTTATTTGGACTAAGTTTGAAGCCTTCATAACACTGACACTTATAAGAACCTAGAGTATTTATACAAGTTCCATTATTACAGATACTGGGATTTCTCTGGCATTCATCAATATCAACACAATAGTCTCTATCTCTCGTCAAAGTATATCCTAGATGACAGACACACTGGAAAGACCCTTGAAGATTATTACAAACTCCATTAGCGCAAATTCCAGGTCTTTCAAAACACTCATCAATATCAATGCAACTTCTAGCACTGATTCCTAACTTATAACCAACTGGACATCGGCATTCGAAACTTCCTTGGAGATTAATACACTGTGCATTACCAGAACAAGGATTGGGAGTCTGTTGACATTCATTCTCATCAATACATTGATGAGAATCTTCATCATATATATAACCAGGATCACATTGACACTCGAAGCTTCCAGGAGTATTCAAACAACGTCCATGAGTACACATGGTTGGCATTAAAGCACATTCATCAATCTCTTCAGTATGATTTGTGATAGGATTCATAATTTGACCTGGAACCATACCACAAAGAATCTCATGCTCTCGAGTTCTTTCACCAGGACATCTTTCACAAGGAGATCCCCATGCTGCGCCCATAGAACAGCAGCAAAGCATTTTTGTTTGAGGATGAATCATAGGACTAAAGCATTGACCATTTTCGTAGTTCATAAAACAGAGTTCTTTCCTCATATCTACACATTCTTTACCACCTGGCATTGACATGTAGCCTTCTGGACATTCGCAATGATACTTTCCTTGATCATTGATACAGTATCCAACTCCACATATCTGAGGATGAAGATCACACTCATCTATATCTATGCAGTTGGTTTTAGTATGATCTAAAACGAATCCTTCATTACATGAACACATAAAGCTGCCAAATGTATTAGTACAGTGACCATTTAAACAGATATTTTCATGTTCTTCACACTCATTAATATCTTCTAAAATTACAGTAACTCTGTTTGGTCGATAACCTAAACCTCCTGGACATAACTCTTCGAATTCTCTTGTTCCAACTTCTGGACACTTTTCACAATTCGTTCCCCAAGCATTTCCAACACTGCAACAACATGTGGCTTTTGTCACTGATGAAGACATGTCGAAGACACATTGAGGTCGACCACCAATTATTTCTGGACTTATATAACACAAAGATTCTCGCCTGTCTGAAATAGTCATTCAATTAATTATCTAAATTTCAGGAAAAATTTTTATTATGAATTATTATAAAATAGCTTAAAAAATTCTTACCAACGCAAGCATTGCCTGCTTCGACAAGTTCATAATTAGGAGGACACTCGCAGATATATTTGCCTTGAGTATTAATACATCGTCCATATTGACAAGCTTGCGGGCTTTCACATTCATCGACATCAGTACAATTCCCTCCAGATCCATCTAATTTATATCCTTCGTTACATTCGCACCTGAACATTCCGAATATGTTTTCACATTTTCCATAGACGCACAAGTTATTGAACATCTCACACTCATTAATATCTATACAAGCTTGTTCGTTATTTTCTTCAGGATGCATAAAGCCCATCTCGCATTCACAGCGGAATGAACCGGGATAATTGAGACAATGGCCATTTTCACAGAGAGAAGGATCATTGACACATTCATCAATATCTCTGCAACTGTATCCATCTCCTCGGAATCCAGCATCACAAACGCACTGAAATTTTTTCATCAGTTTCAGTATACATAAGACAGAATATTCTTTAAACATACCTTGAATGAACCTTCGGTATTTATACACTGGGCATTGGCATCACAGCCACCATTGTTTATGAGACATTCGTTGATATCTCGACATTCGATACCATTCCCAGTGAATCCTTGATGGCAGGAGCATTCGTAAGAACCAGGAGTGTTCCTACAATTTGCAAACTCACTGCAAGAGTACGCATTTAATACACATTCATCATCATCTGTACAATCTGGACCTGCATCTGGTTTTACTGAGTATCCATCTTCACAGCGGCAGTCAAAAGATCCAATGGTATTTCTGCATTCACCGTAGCCACATATCCTTGGCTGAGATACACACTCATCAACATCTAAGGATAATAAAATAATAGAATGATAATAAGCGTTTATCTTGATAAATTAAGTGATAAAAAAATAAAAACACTTACCTATACAAGATAATCCATCTTTTCCAGGAAGCAATCCTGCATTACAGTGACATGTATAAGTACCTTGGAGATTAGAACATTGACCACCATTACAAATCCTTGGATTTTCTTTACATTCATCAACATCTGAACATGATCGGCCATCTAGATTCAGTGCATATCCAGGACTAAGCAAAAAAAAAATAATTTAATATTAATGATATTGAACGTTTACTTATAGGCTTTTAGAAATTAATTCAGTGATAAATATTTTTTATACCTGCAGCCACAAGAAAAGCTTCCAGGTGTATTAATACAAATATCCTCACATCCTCCGTTATTTGTAGCACACTCATTAATATCCTCACAATGTGATTTCAACCCTGTTTGTCGATAACCATCATCACAAATACACTGATAAGTACCCATCATATTCTCACAGACTCCATTAGAGCAGATACCACTGGTTCTTGAGCACTCGTCAATGTCTTTACAAGATTGCTTATCAGGACTTAATTCATGTCCGGGAGGACAAACACATTTAAATCCTCCTTCAATATTTTTACAAGTGCCTCCTCTGCATAATCCCGGAGTCTCTTCACATTCGTTAATATCCATACAGATCTTCATGATATCACTGCTGCGATATCCTTCATTACACTCACACTGGAATGTTCCTGGAATATTTACACAAGTTCCATTTCCACAAACTCCCCGCATTATTTCACACTCATCAATATCATTACATTTTATTTCATTCTCATCCAAAGCATATCCTTGGTTACATCGACAACTGTAAGACCCAACCGTGTTTTTACATCTACCATTTTGGCACATGCCCGGAAATTCAATGCACTCATTAATATCCTGTTTTTCAGTAAATCCATCACCTTTAGGACATAATTCTGCATGAAGTTGAGTTCCAACTTTAGGACAGAGTTCACATTTATCATTTCCCCAAGCTTTGCCCACAGAACAACAGCAGATGTTTTTAGAGAATTGACCTTCAATTGGATTCGTGCACTGATTGTGGCGATAAGACATGTAGCAGGTTTCTTGTCTTGTATCAATGCAGGTCGTATCTATTGTAATAAGAAAAATATAGGATGAATAAATAAAGAGCAATCAAATAATTGAGGTTTCGAGAGCAAAAGTAGCGTAACCCTCATTTAAAACAATAAAGAAAAATCATAGAAAAATTGCAATGAATTAGCATTTTTTTACTACCTTAGTGTAACAACCTCAATTATCAATTATTTTGAAAAAAGGATTGAATAGCTTTTTTAAATAAATCAATCGGGAATTGGAATCTTTTCACTTACGAGTAGAATCAAGAGTAAGTCCTGGAGGACACTCGCATCGATAAGATCCATCTGTATTAACACAGGTTCCACCTCCTTTGCAAATGCCACTATTAAGCTCGCATTCATTGATATCTGCACAAGCTTTTCCATCAACTTTGGCATACCCTTTCGAACATTCACATAAAGAATAATCACAAGCTTCACACGGACTTCCCCAGGCAACTCCAACAGAGCAACAGCATTCAGATTTCAACGCCAGCCGAGGAAAATTATTCTCACATCTTCCTTCAACCATTTTTGTCCAACAGGAGCCTCTTCTGTTATCTGGATAATCCAGAATAAATTTTACCATTGTTCATCGGATTATTTTGAGAATTGGAATATAATAAATGAACTTACCCATGCATATATGTCCCGTATTGTCTAAAATATATCCATTGGTACATTCACATTGATAAGATCCTTTTGTATTAATACATATTCCATTAATACAAACATCAGCTCCTAATTCTTCACATTCATCAACATCTTCACACATTTGGGTTTGAGTATTAAATCTGGTACCGGTAGGACAAACGCACTGGAAACTTCCAGGTGTATTTCTACATTGTCCTCCACTACAAAGCGAATTTTCTAATTCACACTCATTAATATCACTGCACACTTTTCCACTGGAGTCTAATTCATAGCCATTATCACATATACAGCGATAAGTGCCCATTAAATTCTCACAGCCACCATTGACACAAATGTTGGGATTTTGAGCACATTCGTTAATGTCTAAAAAAAAATATTCAATGAATTTATTAATTGTCGAGATTTAATATGCTGTTTAAAAAATAAGAAACTTTACCATCTCCATTATAAGTCATTCCAGCTCCATGAGGACATAAAGCATCAAATTCAGGGGAATTGGGTAATGGACAAGGTTGGCAGTTCTTTCCCCATCCCAAGGGTTGTCCCAGTATCACTGTGCAACAGCAACAACTTGACTTTGTTACTGCTGTTGAAGTTGGATTGGAGCACTGGCCGTCTTTGTACTGAGAATAACAGAGATCTCTTCTAGTGTCTGTAAAAAAAAAATATAAATCATGTGATAAATTTATTAATATAATAAATATTGATTATCTAAGTAAATATACCTAAGCAAGATCTTCCATCAGGCCCAAGATTAAACCCAGGATTACATTCGCATTTAAAACTTCCAGCCGTATTTTTGCAGTGACCATTTCGGCAAGGAGAACTCAAACATTCATCAATATCTATAAAAACAGTTATCGTTTTTATTAATATTTACAATTATTATGAAATAAAAAAAATTTGTCAATAAAATTGATTTAAAAAATAATATTACCAATACAATGACTTTGATCAGGACCCAATCTAAATCCAGAATCACAAACACATTTAAATGATCCTTCCATATTGACACATTTTCCATTATTGCACATTCCAGTAGTCGAACACTCATCCATATCAACGCAGAAGGTGTCATCTCTTGAAGGTGTAAATCCAGATTGACATACACAGTGATAAGATCCAGGAGTATTCTCGCAACGACCATTTAAACAGATTCTTGGGTTCTCTGAGCATTCGTTGATATCTAGAACACATATTACATTTAATTATCTCAAATGTTATACAAGCATTGCGTATATCAAACAGCTTTATCATTAGGTTGTGCTAATAACTTAGTAATCATTTCAATTAAGATTTTTATCATACATGAAAAGACTGAAATAAGTGAGAAAAAAGTTAATAAATAGAAAAATAGCAGTGGCAATAAAAAAGAACTACCAATAAAAATGGATGACTAAAAATTAGAGATAGGGTATCATTGGCTTCGATGCTTGAAGGCTTCCGCATTGCATGATGCCATGCACCCGCTCGTTAGCTTTTAATGCTGCCTATCGCAATGTTCGAGTGATAAACTGCCGACTTGTAAATTACGGGAGTGATATAGAATATAGATGGCAAAACGGGGAATCCCCTGAGTCTTAGAAAGTCTCTTAAGTAAATAATTGTGGAACTAGTTTTGTATAAATAGTGCTTTCTAACAGTATTTTCATGTAACTTATATAAATATTGTCATGATATTCAAATTATAAAACATAATTGTTTACATATAACATCTTGACTTTTACAATATTTTATAACTTTTTTATTTATTAATCTTATGGAAAAATTTTTAGATTCAGAAATATTCTTTATTTTAGGTTTTCACGAATTATTAAATCATAAAATAATTTTTTCCAACATTGGTGGCAACTATAATTTTCAGGTAATAAAAGATTAGATAGGTTGTTAATCATTTTTTCCCAACGAAACTTACCAATACACGTGTTCTTGGAAGGTGAAAGAACATAACCGTCATTACATTTGCATTTGAACGAACCGTTCATGTTAGTGCAGTGGCCATTGGTACACATTCCAGTATCTTGACACTCGTCGTGGTCTATTTTAAATAAATCCATATAATCAATGAAATAATTCTGAACTAATGGCTTGGTGATCATGTGTACAAACCGCTACAATATCTCCCTTCTCCAGACACGACAAAACCCGGAGGGCAGTGGCATAGAAAACTTCCTGGAAGATTTTGACACGTTCCACCTTGACAGTAGCCCTGCTGACACTCATCAACATCCTCACATCTTCCAGATTGCTTGACGAAGCCCGGAAAGCATTCACACTCATACCCATCATCTGTATCAATGCATTTCCCACCACCACAAATGTCAGGACGAAGAGCACATTCATTAATAGCGATGTGTTGAGGTTCAGAACAAATTTTTTTATACTCATCTGCAACAGTTGTTATTTTGTTTTAATAATAGATTATTTATAAATATGATTGATTTATTTAATTAATTTTTATAGAAGAATATTTACCACTTCCTTTCGGAGGACATATGTAACATTCATCGCCCCATCCACGGCCCATATTCTTACCACAACAGCAATCTTTTTTACTTAATCTCATAGACAATCGATTCTTGCACTGTCCATTTCGATTGACAGCCGTGTAGCAAAGTCCTTGACGTCCATCTTTAATTGATTAAAAATTTTTTTAGCTCAAGAATAATAAAAAGGATTATTAAAACTTTTCACAGAAAATATTTCGAACTTACCAATACAGAATTTTCGATCCTGACTCTGAATAAAGCCTGGATTACAAACACAATAGTATCCACCATCAGTATTGATACACTTGCCATCTTCACAGATGCCTTCCTCTTGGCATTCATCTTTATCTTTGCATTCATTAGTCTCTAAATCTCTCGCTTGTCCTGGAGGACACTCGCAAGTGAATGATCCTGGAGTATTAAGACACTTTCCACCTTCACAAAGTCCCGGAATCGCTTCACATTCATTGATGTCAACACATTCGCCTTGATTGTTCTTCAAATGTCCAATCTCACAATCGAGTCTTACAGGACATCTCTCACAAGGATGTCCCCAGCCTTTGCCAACTGTAGCACAGCACATCTGTCTTGTGCAAACAACTCCTTGAAGATGTACTAGACATTGACCATTCTTCACTTTTGTATAGCAAGGACCTGTTCGATAATCATTCTCACATCTTCTTCCAGTGTAACCATATATACAAGCGCAGCGATCAGGACCTATGCACCTTCCTTGATTTAGACAAGGTTCCCGACAAATAGCTAAAATAGAAGTAATAACAAAGTTACTCAATAAGTTTAATTAACAAAGTTATGAATGGACTTGTGAACTATTGAGTTAATTGAGAAGTAAATCAAGAATTGAATGAAACAATGAATTGCTTCATTAATTATTTAATGAATGAGTGAATCGATGAATGAATTTGTGAATGAATGATTGAATAAATGAGCCTATCAATCAATTACTTCAGTTATAAATCAATTAAAACAAATAAATTGATAGACTTCGTATCTGAATGAGTACATTTAGATCAATTTCTATTGTAATAATTATGAATTAATTAATTTCATGATAACTATTGTCATGAATTTTTTTGATATCATGAATTTCGAGAAATGAATGGTGTCATGTAGAATAAAATGATTGTTAAATATAATACTTACGTTCATTACAAAATTCTCCTTGATATCCAGACCTACATTGACACCTTCCATCAACGCAATTACCGTTAATACATCTTGCTCTACAACTTCCTCCGGTTCTCGATGAATGTGACACCTTATGATCTTCGTGTGTACTCCCTTCATGATAAGAGCCTTAAAAATAATAAAAAATAAATAAATAAAATCTGCTGAGTCAAGAATGAATGATGATATTCAAATTTAAATCTCCTTTGAAATGTCTTCTTTTGTATTGTTATGTTATTGTCTTCCTGAGACGAAGGGAAAGAACAAGAAGATGATGATAAAGTAATCAAGGGCCCAGACATACATCAAACTTTATTATTCTTATATCATTGGTTGACAAACTATTGTCCTTATAACTTTGGATTGGATTTATCTTTATGGATATGCAGCATCAGAGTAGTGTTTTTCTTTTGGTTTTATTTTTTTCTCGTTAACTCGTCGACCAATTTAGTGAATTTATTAAATCGACTAGACACTTCATTTAATCTGTCAAAATTGTGATTGAGTTACCTCTGCCTTGATGGGAAGATGCTGATGGATTGCAAACTGCTGCAACTGATCCTCCTTCGCAGAGACAAACGTTTGGTCTAATACATCTTCCATTTCCACAACGTCTACAGATCGCTGAAAAATATTCCTCAGGTCAGTATTGATGAAAAAAAAATGTTGCTTTTTGTTAATAAAAAATTTACTTTACTCACGAATTATACAAAGCCCAGTTTCAGGTTTTCTATTCCATCCAGGACAACAGTAAGTTCTGTGTCTAGACCTACAGACATTGGGGCTGAAAAAAAAGATCATAAAAGTGAAAGTTATAAGCAAATAATTCAATGATAAAATTGACTCATAAATATTCGCAAAATGATTATTCAATAATTTTACTCTTCAAATGTCATGCAATCAGATAATGAAAAAAAAAATCAATGGTTAGAAAAAAGGATCCAATGGATACATGTACGAGACGTCACCTCAAACAAGGCGGGCATTCACTTCGTTCTTTATAATTAACGTCAGCTGCTAGACCGCGTTTTAAGTACTTCCACTTACTCAAAGTGGCGCCCAGTTTATTGCCGCCTTATGAGCACATCCGACTTAGCGAGTAAGCATTAAGAAGGAAAAAATCCAATCAAACTTGTGATCGTTGGATCATCAAATCATTAGTCTTGTGTATACATTTTCCATCATTTTTATTTATTTTTTTCTATTTTTTATAGCACATAATATAACGATAGAACATGTTATGTTATATCGTCAAGCTTTGTAAGTGTGTTGTTGCCATCGTAAAAACATTTATGAGCCTGTGATAACAATTACGAGTGGACAATTACACAATAAACAATAGCAACCGCTTGAGTATTCGAACACTTACGGCTGTTAAGTCAATTAACAAAGCTATTGTGCGATTAAATTAATAATTGACAGCAATAGTTTGCCTTTTTGAACTGCTCATAATAAAAGAAAATATTTTCTAATTATAATTTTTCTGTAGCATTTAATAATAACTGACTAAAAATGCTAAAATATTATTTTGTATAAATATTTTGAGTATACTAAATGAACTGGTATGATTTCTTGGTAGATAAGAACGTGATTATACATATTAATATTATTTGGATCTCTTTGATATAAGGATGTTCACACTTGCACTGCTAATGTTATATTAGTTCTATACAATTTGAGAGATTTTTTGATTTAAGTGTACGTGAGTAAAGCAATTGAGATAATTGGTTTATTACTAAATCGTAGTAAATTGAGTACCAAGGGTGGTTATCTTCACACCCTCACTAAATTACATGTATTTCTTTTGCCTCTGGCGCGAATGTTGATTAAGTGTCTTAATATAACCTATAAGTTTATTCTTCAAATTTTGGCTTTATCTTTCTCAAGTACGTATAATAAATATACTATTACCTATTTTACTATTACAATTTTATTAAACAATTTTTTAATATTAGTTATCTAAATAATTCATTTTTTCTTATCAATAATATGAAACTAACCTTTTTTTAGGTATCTGTGATTGTTCGTCATCATTAATTTTAGAGTATTACGATAAATTCATCGATTAATACTTGGAAATAAAGTATTGTTAATGTATTAAAGTTATTAATATTATTGGAAATTTTATTTTACACATGGATTTATCTGATAAACAACTTGCAGCGTCATTACAACAGCCAGAAATTTGATCAATTGTCAAGAAGTATTAGTATCATCCAAAAGAAATTCTTCAAATAATAATCGATGATATGATCACTAAAAAGATCAATCCCTCGATCAATTCATAAACGTCTAAGCCCTTTGAGATCTTAAACACATATGACATATGAGTTTATTGGACACACGATAACCCTTTGGTGCATTGAGCTTAAGAATGGTAAAGAATTTAAAAGATTATCCGAAGATTACATCTTATTGTTAACTAAAAGACGTTATATCTTTTATTACACTTGATGGATTCGATGAATTGATCGATAATTTGTTGAGCTTTATTCTCCATTGGTTTCTACACACACATATGTGTTATTATAATAATTGTAATAATAGGTTCTATATAAATCTACTTAGAAGAAAATGTGTCAAGAGGATGTCTCGGTAAATTAACATGTAATAGAAGCGAGAGTGACTTTTAATTCTGTAACGAGAAACCCAATTAGACAATTAGTTACACTAATTATTGGCGGCATAACGAATTGGGTTAAATGACATATTGTGTAATATTAATGTCGAGTGTATGTAAGGAAGGAAGCTGAAGAAAACAAAACTTCCGCTTGATGTCTTTGAACACCGTGAGAAAAGAGTTGATAATATTGTAGTCATTGGTTTATAATGAAAGTGATAAAAACAATTATTGGAATGAGTTGAAGAACCAATTCACGCAATTTATAAACCATTATTTAACGAATTTAAAAGTAATGAATATTTTTTTATTATTATGACTAGAAATAGAAGTCATACTAGAACATTGAAAAGTGGCATAAAAGTAAACTAATAAATATTTTTATGATCCATTTTTATGATTGAAGAAAATTTAACATCAATCTTAAAATACAAGAAAATAAAAGGTTTCCTTTTCATTAAAAATATTTCTGAATGAGCTTATAATAATAGTGCAAACAGTCATTCTATTATAAATCTAATGGTTTACACATTTTAAATCTTATTTCTATTAGGAAAATAAATTCCAAAAAAGAAACATTTTTGTTTTTAAAGCACAACGTTGGTAATTGATTGTGCTATAAAAAAATTGAAAAAAAAAATATGTCTTGATTTTAAAACATAAATATCATCATTATCTCTGCTCATTTACAAATCTATTTATACAACACATATAACTGTAATTCCATAACTCGATAAAATCTTCAAAATTGATACATGATAATGAAAAGAAAAAAGATAATGCATTAGCATACTTCTACTTTTGAATAATTGACCATTTTTGAGTTGTATAAATGTAGTAGCACCACTAATAGAACGAATGAGGTAGAGCTAATAAGTGCATTATCAGAGAAATGTTAAAGAGGGAGACATAAAGATCAAAGATAACGACAAAAGAACTTTTAAGTGTCATTATATCATGGCATTTCTTATCTCTCATTCGCATACTTACAATCACGATCTCATCATGAATTATGTTAATGTCTAGTTTAATTCCACACGCTAGAATGCAAGTATCATTGGCACTACAAGCGATCCACTTAAAGCTAAAAGACCTGCTTTGCGTAATCCTGATTTATCCAATTCACCGTGACCTTACGAGTAAATTTAAAATTATGTGATATTAATGGATTATTATTGTCATTCAACATAAATTGTGTGACTCTATTTCATTATTTGTAGATTTTTATTATAATTTTATCGTTTTTTTCATTAATTGAAATGTTAGAGCAGAAAGCTGGGCGACCTTTCAGCAACCAAAGGAAGCAAATCTACATTTTATGAATAGTAATAGGGTTAAATTATTAACAGTTATTTGATTTTAAATAGTACTTAAGTGATAATCATTTTTAACAAATCTTAAGTACAGAAATAAATTATTGGAATAAATATTTTCAACATTCTTATGATAATTACGATTTCTTTTTAATGAAGTTTTATTCAATAAGCACAAAAATTAGAAGATTATTCAACTTCCTATATTACTTCATTTAAAATAAAAATGCAAACCAATTAAATTGCATCCAATTCACCCAGTTCTCACTTGATCAGAATGATGGAAGTAATCACCAAACAAACCATATAAGACTGAATACAAAAAAGCCAGTAAAAAAGTGCGTACATAAAGTCTTAATGAAAATGGACGTGCGAAGATTTTGATTGAAAGATGTTATGAAAAAAAATAAATGAGTGATAAAAATAATAAGAACGATTGCCATACCAAAAGATATAAAGATATAAAGTGATGAGTGTATGAGGTAATTCTTATGGAATTCTTTCGTCTTTTCCGCGTGTATTTTTAGCGGCAGAAACCACGGGTGCGTGCGTAGATTGTTATCTGGGTTGAGTTTACATTGAAGAGAAGAAGGAGAGCCCCCGAGAATGTGAGAGTTAATTGGGCGCGAGAATACGAGTTGGCCACCCGGTTGTACGCGTACACGCTTTCAAACAAGACGACAGTATGGAAAGGAGAAAGAACACCAGGACATGATATAGACTTTATTTTCATTTTTATTTTCCAACTTCTAGACCCGCAATTTTCCTTAGCAAAGACTTTAGTAGTTATGAAAAAGGAACAAATCATCATCTGATTATTATAAGTGGCTACTTATTTATGAGCAAATAATGCTAATTACTGGACAAGTGGATGAACAACCAAGAGTATATAGCTGCTGCTAGTTATCGACAGGTTTTCACCATCAATATTTGTTACTCTCTCGACCTTGCAATTTATCTTGGCGCCATAATAAGTCTATTTTAATGATGTCAAGTCAGAGAAACTGGAGTAGAATCAAATAATTTGATTTAAAAGAAATATCTCGATAGCACAATTGGGAGAATTTTTTCCTTCAGTGAAATGGAATTTAAATAGCATGTGTGACGCATTTTCTATTGTTTAATGCATCAATCGGGTATATATATTATTAGGAGGAAGTACCAAAAGAGGTGTGCCGATGTCTGAATTATTGGAACGGATAATAAACATTCGCGATTCGTTGATCGCGATAGGATTATTTCACTGTCCACATTGTTCATTGTCACGAGGGCATCCTGGCACTTTCTTCTCATTTTTTTTATTTGCTCAAAGTTTTATTTTTTGGCTAAAATATTTAGTCTCGTTTCCTTCCTCAAGTTAATGGCAAAGTCTCTTTTTAAATGATAAAAAATAAGATTAATGTTTAAAACCAAAAATTACTAGATAGGATTGATAGTAAAGCTGATAATTACCCAGTCTGTACACTCGTTTGATGATGATTGTCCAAGTCTTGAGAAGGAGTCGTGTAGCTTCCTGGATGTCGATCTCTCGTAGACTCTTCTTGAGATTGAACCGCAAGAAGAGTGAGAATGAGTACAACGTAAAACGTATTCATCGCTATACTCTTCTATTTATTTTATTCTCACCGAGAAACTGATTCTCGATTTATCCTCCAATTAGATTTCACCATCGGGAATCTAAGAAATCTAGAATTTAATCATCAAACCAAAACAAAATAATCAAACCTACATAACTTTTATAACTAATAATTAATTGAGTAGTATAGAAAAAATTCCTAGTTATTTGTAATTGTTTTATTTGATTTAACTTGAATGAATAGTTATTAATGATCAATAAATTTATTATTGATTATTTATGAATAATTTATAGAAAAAATTGAACTTGAAAATTTTGCAAATTTATAAGAAAGTGGTAATTTTCATAATTCTAAAATTATTTAAATATTGAATAAATTATAATTGATTGATTTAGCCTCAAGACATCAAAGTATCATCTTTCTTGTATAGAATCGTAATGACACCAAAGGCGGGAAGCTCTAAGCCTGACACTCAACAAGTCTAGAGACATACAACTTTTCCTTACTAGTTATAAAGTCTACACTGTAATTATTATTATTAAAAAAATTAATTTATTGCTTCTTGGCGGAGAAGTTGAAAAAAAAAAGATACATTTTTACAATATTCATTGCAAATTATTATCTTCTAAATAAATTAATAATTATTAAATAACTATCAATTTATAACCGAAGTACCTAATATTAAAATTCTTGCTTAATTTTAAAATATGATAATTTTCTACAAAATGTGAATTTTGAATAATTCAGAAACTGATCACTATCTCAACATTGATGGAATGTAATAAATTGGCTAATGGCCTGGTTATTTTGCAAATATAAAACAATGGGTTTAATGTTGAAATCAAAATGATAATAAATGTCCGGAGCATGTTGGCGTTTCCGGAAGTAAGTCGAATAAAGCGTGAAATATATATATGTAGAACTATTATCACGTGGTATAAATAAAAACGTTATCTTTTAGCAAATAACTTTGGTGTAAAATTATTCATGCATTACTTCACTCGTGGGTCGAAAGGAAAAAATAGAAATTCTATGGAGTAGATAAAAAAAAAATAATCTCATTAGTTTATCATAATCTACCTCATTATATACTAACACTTAATAAAAACGCGGTTCAATTCGAACTAACGCGTGATAATACTTTTACGTGGTTAAGATTATTATCATGAAATCAAGAAGCTTTACAATACTCTTTTTCTTATAAGAAAAAAATTTTCACACATCAATTAACCGCCTATCGAATTGGGCGTGTAATTTAATTATTAATAAAATAAATAGCAATTTAAAGCGATGAAAAATAATTATTCACCAAAATATCACTTCAATCAATCACAATTCACATGTGTCACTTACTTGAACGATAAGAGACTTGATCGGAAAAGTTTGAATTTTTAAGTTTTAATACTAAAAAATAGTTCATAGAAATATGTGACAACTGTTAAGAAAACTCTTGGATTGAAATCATGATAGATAAACGAGCAAAAAATAATAGCTAAAGGTGTCGACAAGAGGTGGAGGACTCCGAAAAGATGCGCTGGCGGGACTCAACGTGAGACTGAGCAAACTGGAGCCAAAGAGCTTGGTCTCGTAGTTACTCTTTCTCTCTCATATAACTCGTCTCATTTTACTCAGCCTCTCTTCCTACATAATATCTTTTTAGCTTCGTTCTCTTTCTCTCATGGATATATAGACATGACTGTGGATTTCTATCCCTTCTTCTTCTTCATCTATATGTACACTCCTGTCAACACTCTGCATGCTGATCTATGCATCATCATCGTTGATGTAGACAATTCAGTAAATTGATTATCAATCAATTCATTAAGTTGTATCTGTAATAATGTAGGTCTATTTAATTTAAAAGAAATTATAATATATAAAAAACTTGATAAAATATTTTTTTTTTAAATAATCAATATATAAATAAAGTTTCAGAATAATCGGTGGTGTAGAATGTGTGTGGGTCATCGAATCTATTTTAAATAACATGTTATTTCCGTGTCTATTTTATATTCGTCAAAATTTATATGGATTTTAAAAAATTGTCAAGTATTTTTAAATATTTCTCAGAATTATTTAATTTATATTCTAATACTTTGGAATTGACTCATGAAAGAAATAATTGTTCTAAAAACAACAGCATATCATTCTTTCATCTTAAATGAAATTATCAAGTGACTTTAAAATAAATATTCATGTCGACAAACCAATGAATGAAAAATTTTTAGAAAAAAGTCACTCATTAGTTATAACATAACATGGAAATTTTTTATGCATTTTCCATTTTCAACATAAAAAAGTTTAATTTATTAAAAAAAAATCCTCAATCAGGAACTGCAATGAGAAAATTGCAGATTTTCTAATTAAAAAGTTCCTTTCCATAGTAATTGATCATCATTAAAAGATAGAATAATTGCGAGATATGATAGTTAAGGATACCATAATGTGATAAAATATCTCATAAATCATTTTGTTGGAAGGCAAACCCTACATTAATTCGATTAATTCTTATGCGGGTTGATGTGTGATGTGACAAATAATAACACGAGATATAATTAATGAGGACGAAAAGCAAGAGAGGCTAAAGAAAGAGGGTAGAAGACTATCTCAACTCAACTGTCATTCCACTCATCACGTCCGGGACAGCGTCAATAGTGTCTTACAACCATCACGACAATGCTGAGATAAATGATTAGCATTTTTACGATTTTTTCGTTCACTTTATCGCTGATAAATTAATGACCGCAATTCTTACTCCATGGTTCATATTATTTTCTGATTCATAAGTCATTGTGTTTCAATAATCTCACAAAAATGTGTCTTCTCTAACGCAATATTTTGACCTAATCAAATTCAATTTAAACATTAGTTTGATAAACTGATCATTATAGTAATAATGACAATAACAATCATTATTATTATAACATGTTAATCAATAATTGCTATATTGGCGATAGATAATAGAATATAATTTTATATTTTTTATTTTAAAGCAAGGACTGTAAATGAATTAAAATTGATACTTACATTTGTAGGATAATCTACGACGATTTCGATTATCGATAAAACTTTGTATGCAATAATTAGTTTAATGAGAAGTCATTTATTATACCAAGTAGGTCAGGGGTGGTCACCGACATCAATAAAACCATCTAGGCATCTCAACAACCGGAAATACATCTAAGAAAATAGAACCATGGAATTACTATTTTCATTAAACGATTTTTTATTTCTACAATTAGATTCGATAGAAAGCATTAATAAGCAGATATTGAAGACATTAAAAAAATTTTACCTGATATTAAAAAGGATATTTTTCCAACAGAATGTGACTTAATCTGGTCAACTTACTAATCTCTCAACTGGACGATCTTTTGGGGATCGACAGAAACCGGATGCAACAGTAATTCGATGGAGATTATCAGCTCGTGTGAGATCTAGAGGTGAATATGTAAATCGATAGTCTGTCATAATGAAATTATTGAGAGAATTAAATGGTGAGAAATACCCGAGTGGCTTTAATTACACTTTGAAAAAAAAAGAATGAATTAAAATTTCAAAAATTAATTAATGAGCTGATTAATAAATTGTTGCAATGCCTCCAACAGATATTTCATTGAAAAAACTAAAAGAATTGACAGTAAAATTCGTTTGAAAAAAATGTATTTTTTCGTGAAAATAAATTGTTAGATTATTATTTTAGCACTACAAAATCAATGGTTAAAATAGGTAAAAAGTATCTGATATGAATTAATATATTATTATTCTTATTATCAGATAAAAAAGGTTAAAGAATTGAGAAATAATTGTAACGAATTGAACATACAACGCAATATGGCAAAAAAAACATTTCCAACTAATTTGATGGCATTTATCATCCATTGATATCATTACATTACAAAATCCTTTTTTATCTATTGTAAAAATTAATGGTTTACCGTAAGTAAAATAAATTCCTATAAAATATTTTTTTTTATAAAGCGTATCTTTCCCGCAATTTTGACTGAATACATGTTCAGTATTGATATGAAAGTAATTGTAATTGATTGCACGTGAAACGATTGATTTTTGATCAAACAAACAAAAAGCGCATGAAAAATCATGCTTGGAGAAAAAGTTTATAAATAGTTTTTTTAAAAAAGTGAAACGAGATGAAATCAAGTGCGTGAAATATTCTTGTTTCGTGGAATAAACACTCCGAATTACTTCACAGAATTCAGTCCCGTGACAAGGTTTATTTATACATATAATAGATATGTGTAGTATTTTTAATTACATTGTCTTTAATTTGACTTCATCTTTCAATTGATTAACGAATTTATCAATTTGTCAAATCAACAATAAGCAAACAAGTTATCACAAAAGAGAAATATTGTGAACAAAACTCAAAATGGCTACTGAAAGGTAAGTTTTGGTATATTGATAAAAATGCTATTATTTTTAATGTGTTGTTAATATGGCTTTAATGTTCGAACTTGTTCATCTAACAAGTCAACAAGTATCATCGACTCATCTTTATTTTTCAAACCAAATTTTTCTAAAAATGCTTCTCTGATGGCTTTGCCTTTTTCCAATCGCGTAGGATCACCAGCAAACCATGATTCTTTTAATTCATTAATCTTCAATTCTTTACTAGTATCTTCAAAAACTTCTAAAACATCATTTTCATTTATTATAGCTTGAAGAGTCCAATAAGGAGCCTCTAAAATATTTTTTTTATCATCAGTCTTCACTACTTTGCCTTGATCATTTCTTTTCGTTGATTTACCAGCTGTATCATGACTCTTTTTCAAGCTTCTATATCGATAGGATTTTTTTTCTTTAATATCCAAAACAGTGTTCCATTCCTTCTTAGTCAATGGCCAAGAATTTTTCATCACCAAGGCCTCAATATAAAACAAACCACTCTTTTCTAAATAAACTACTGGGATAATCACTCCAGATTGTGCAGAAAACTCTCGCAATAATTTATCTTCTGAATTTAACAATTTAATCTTCATAGATACTTTTTCATAATTTAGAATTATTCTTAAAGCTATCGAACAACTTCCTGAGGTCTTAACAGCAACTCTAAATATTTTATTTAAAATATTCGGTACATAATTGTTTGATATTTCTCTTATTTTTAGATCTAGCACATCAATTACGGATGGAATTGATTGATTTCTACCATTGCTGTTAACAAAAATAAACTCAGGATCTCCTTTTATTGATACAATATGCAAAGTCCACTCAAGCTGTTTCTTTTGGGAAATAAGACTTTTCCTTTTTTTGACACTAGTATGATTATCTTCACCATTATCATGAGAAGTTACCCATCCGTAACTGAAAATGGTGTAACCCTTGTGATTTTTCGAATAATGGTATGGAAGAACTTTGTTGATATTTCTTTGGACTTCCCGGCAAGTATCATTGTTGAAAACACGAAGGTAATGGACTGGAAGATCAATAAAGAGATCTAACGATGTGAAAACAGTTGAATTTTCTGGTACATTTACAATCAAACAAAAAATTGGTAATAATTTATCACTGAAACTTGAAACCTTTCCTTTTATTTTAGTGATATTGAGTATGTAAGGAAAATCATTTATAATGGGGTAGAAACAATTTAGTTCATGATCTTTTCTGAGAAAATCTCGCACAAGATCAAAAATTAAACCTTTATTTAGCATTATACTGATTAATTCTAAAAAATTTTTTATTTCTTTCCTTTTTTCTTCATTAGAGTCTAATGTATGAATCTTCCAGTAAAATTTCACTCTAAACATCCTCCAAAATGATTGAATAGTTATAGCTGCTTTAATTTCAGCCATATTATTGATCGAATTGGTAGAAAAACCTTCTTCATTACTTATTGTTTTGTAAATATCTTCTATAGAAGGAATTTGAAATGAATTACGTTGATCATCGTCTATTGTTCCTTCAGATACATATAAATTATTTCTTCCAATAGTTGGATCGATAAAAAAAATTCTTAGAGATTGTAAAATACTCTCTAAATCATCCCCTAAGAATTGTCTTTTCAGAAAATTAATTAAAGCTTGCTTAAATAATTGGTGAATTTTTATGGATACTTTTTTATCTAATGCGTATGATTCATCACTATTTTCTGATACTTTATGTTCTGGAAGATAACTCTGATAATAAGCTTTTAAATTTTCTCGATATTTATCTGATCCAAATGCACCAAATGCTGATATTAAGCATTGTTTAATTTTTTCAGTAAATATTTTAGATGTTTCTGATTCTGATGTCATCAATTCTTGAATTTCTTCACGATTTCCAACTTCAAAAATAGTGTCAGATTGAATAGTTAAATGATAAGAATTTGGAGATTGAATAAATATTCGTAATAAATGCCTTCCAGAGCTTAGAGAAAGAATCTTTGAAGAAGACATAATTGTTTTGATTTTCAACAGTGGTTTTTCGTCTAAACTTCTTTTAAACCAACAATGCTTTTCAACAATTAATACTGACGTCTCCTTCATGTCAGGGATAATATTAAAATTAAAAACAATACATTTAGATTCTAATGAATCAATTAGAAAATACAAAGGTGCATTTCTAGAGCTTTTGTATTGATGATTTGAACCGACAGGTTGATGGAAATATTGATAATAATTTTTAAAAGACTTCTTATCATCGTTATGATGAAGGTAATCAGCTTCAATAGCATCTGATATGTTCATAGAATATTTAAATTTCTTACTTTTAAACAGGAAACTTATCTCCATGGAATATTTTGAAAGTTCATTGAAATCAAACCATGTAAAAAATTGATTTGAGTTGTTTTCATCATCTTGCAAAGAAGATTGGCTCTGATGATGATATAAAAATGGGGTGAATAAAAGCACGAGACGAGTTGGAGTAGTATAATCAATAGGGTTCATAATTCCTTGCTGTGAGGCCCAACAAAACCATCGATGGCGTTTCCAATTTTCTAATGGTGACTTTATCTTAAAATTGATTAAATAATGTTAAGGTTTGTTTATCAATAGATAATTAATTAATTAAAACAAAGCTTACTTGAGTAGGATCCAAAGAAATATCACTAACAAGTTCAGCATGAATAGGATAATCAGAAAGAATACTATTATCTTCGATGTTTTTTTCAATACTTTTAAATAACAGTAATATTAAAACATCAGTATCATTTATTCTTTCATCTTTTTTCTTTTTTTTCAATGTTTCAATACTTGCTGTACTACCCTTTGATTTCCTACGATGTTTTTTACCTTCATTATTATCTTCTACAGAGGCTCTTGATGTTTTATCATTTTTCTCTATTGAAATATTGTCTTTTAGAATATCTGAATCTGTAAATTTTGCTACATATTTCGATAATAACTCCCATCGATCATTTGGATATAAATGAGAAATATCTAAAGGTAAACATGTCCACCCAGTCAACAAATAAATTAAATTAATATTTATGGGTTCATCCATTTCTTGTTTATCTATATCTTCATATGGTTTCCATGCTGTAGAAATGACTTTCAACATGGCTTTCGCCAAGATTATCGGCCAAAGCTCTTGATTATTTTCTGTACGAGGGAGGAGAGGATTATCTTCTTTGTCGAGAGGGATTAAATCGTCTACCTCAATACTTCTCCAAGTTCCACCGAAAAATAGTCTCACAATATATTTCCCTGATGACAGTTTAATTCGTAAAATTATTTAAATGATGTTATTAATATTTTTAAATTAAAACATACCATAAGGATTAATTAATGGATTGTGCTGTGATTTTCTTTCTACTTTATTTAGCGAATAGATATGATACCATCCTTTCCACGGTTTATTTTTTAATTTCCATACAAAATTAGGACTCTCTGTTATTCTTAATCCTTCTCTTCCATGATAGTGCAAGGTTGTTAATGAAGAAATAAACCATTTAATGAACTAAAAATAAATGTTATCAATGGCATACATTATTTCTTAAATTTTTATCAAGTCTTACCTGGCAATGAAAAATATGTTGATTATTTATAAAAAAATCAGGAAGTTTTGATGACGATATATAGAGCACAGGTTCAGCATTATTTATTAGATGAGGTCGTTTCCAGGAGTAAGGCTTTAAAGATGGAGGCAAAATTGGAGCATGTGGATCTTCAAAAAATTCATTAGCACTCCCTTTAATGCATAAAGCATAAATTTATATTTACATTCTCGTTGAGAATAATTTATTTAGAGATGTGTAATATTCAATACAATTTTTGCACCTTTCGGAATATTCCATTTTTCTGTATTTATTTTATCATCTGACCATTCAGGCCACAATTTAGAATTAGACATGGAAGAATTTATTTTTGAAGATTTTCTAGCTTTTGTCGACATTTTTTCTTAATTCTAAATGATACTGATAAATGAATCATTCAATTGTTTAATAAAATTACACAACAAAGTCAAAACATCAGAAAATTAATGGATTTATATATTAATAAATCAATAAAGATATAAACATTTCAGGAATCTACTTTTATTATTAATCAATTTATTTTCATTAATAATACTAAACTCATTGTTTGTACAGAAATGGATTAACAACGAGCAAAAATATTTAAAAATGAGATTTTAAAAATTGCTTTGTTAAAGTAACTATCAATGATTAATTAATTGATTATTATTACAAAAAATAATCAGTTTGAGAATAAAAAATATATGTACTATAAAATTCGTCATAAAAATATGCTTCATTTTAAGAGTAATAGAATTACAGGCCTTATTATACAGAATAATAAAAAAATACTCTACTGAAGATAATAATTCTTTACTTTTATGATAATGTAATGAGTAAAGTCAATATTTAAGCGTCATTTTTTTATAGATATAGAAATTGTATATAATTCATTAAAGATATTTCATCTTTTCTTATTTGATTTTTGTATTTTATTCATTATTTATAATGATAATATATAGCTGTAATTTTAAGATTGTAATAATAACAGTTATTATTACTTTTTTAGTCATTTAATTTTAGCTTTTATCTATTCAAGTCAAGAGTGTTGATAATTTTAACGATATAATTGATATATCTTGTTTATAGGCATTGTCAACATGGAAAGATATATTTGTTCAAGAGATGAAAATTGTTTACCATGAAATGGATGGATTTGAATAAATAACGCGTATTGTAGAACATTTAAAAAAATTGCTTAAAATGTTGTAAAAGATATTAATACAATTGCTAATAGTATTTTTGTTTTATCTAAATAGTTTTGAGTTTCCAATTTATCGCTTACTTTGAAGCACCTTCAAAATAATTTTGAGCAATCCTAGACATTCTAAATAAAGTTCTAAAAAAGAATCAAATGATTTATATTTATAAAATAAATACAATAGTTTGTCTTTACTTTGCAATAAAATTTACTTGAAGTCTGGCAGTGGCACGAATTGGAATATCAGAATTTTATCGTACCCTGTTATTCAATATTAAATTGGCAAATAAATGATAAATATAGTTTCTGTCCCCAGAAATTTTTTGTCATTACTTTTCTTTCAAGTTCAGTTCAATTTTTTTAAAGATAAAAAAATTAGAATAATCTACAAATTAATGTAAAAATTCATTTGCCAAATCAATTTGGATTTTAAAAAAGATATTATCTTACAAAATATATATAACTAATTTGAGAATTTCTTGGCACTGAAATACTCTGGATTAATGATAAATTTTATATCATAACAAAAGAAAAGTAAAATTATTGCATAAAGGATTTCAAAAGTTTCGTTCATTCTTTCTTTCTTGTCTTTTCTATTCTAAATAATAGCTTAGAATAATTTTACTTAGGTCCAGAAGCTCTCTGGTCTTCCATTCTCTCCGCCTGTAACTTTTGGATCAATGCGAATAAATCTTCTTCAGGCACAGTCGTAGCTGAATGAAGATTTCCGTTGGATCTTTGGTTTGGTTCTTCTTCAGCATCCTGAAGAGCAGTTGCTGCAGGTAGAGGACTTCGTTGATCTTCTATTCTTGAACTTTGGCAACGAAGTAACATGTCTATAAAAGAATCATCAGCGTCTTGAGGAGTCCTTACTGGAGTTTTCATTCCAGCTGGATTTTTTGGATTTGTGTTTAATCCTGGCAAGTATGGCAACGTTACTCTTTGCTCATCCATCCGTTTGCTTTGCATTCCAGCAATTAATTCCAACAAATCTTCTCCGTCCCTTTAAAAAATTTAATTATATATATTACAAACCTAATAATTAACTTAAAACAACAATGCACTTAAAATTTCAAGTATAATATAGGAAGCGGAAATTATTAGAAAACCTAAAAATTATAATAGAGCTGATAATTACTTTTCTTTTTCGGGAGCAGGTGCTTTGACTCGTGGTTTCTTATTAGTATTCAATACACATCTTTGATCATCCATTCTTCCTGATTGACATCTCGATAAGAGTTCAAAGAAATTTTCTTCCTCCTCTTCTTGTGAAGGCTGTGGCGCTATGACAGTTCGAGTCGGTGGTGGATTATCCTTCTGTTTAGCATCTGGTGTTAGCTAAAAATAGTATACATTGGAAAATTTTAGTATCTTCTATTTATAGCAATAATTTACTCAAATTATCTATTTGACACAAAAATTTTAAACAAATTATTTATAATTATAATTTTAAAAAATACCTTGATTAAATCCAAGTTATCCATGCTTTGTCTTCTTAATCGATACCTTCCAGGTGAAGGGGTAGTGTGAACAGGATTATTAATATTTGGATTATTATTGCTCCCTTTATCATTTTCTTTCTCATTATTTTCCATTCCGAGAATTTTTTGAAGATCTCCAACATTCATTTGAGCGGTGGCCTGGCCCATAGGGTCATCAAGTTCTTTCGAAATATTTAAATGCAATGTAGCAAAGTGCAAAGCTTTTTCATGATTACCCATAGCCGAATAAGCGTTGCCCAATGACCAACAAGCTCGTCCTTCGCCCACACGATCCATCAGTTGCTGAGCAATCGCGAGATGACGTAAGTGATATTCAATGGCCGTAGGATAATCACGTAGTAATGTGTACGTGTTTCCAAGCGAGTAACAAGCTTGTGCTTCAACCGCCCGATCTCCAAGCTCTTGTGCCAGTACTAAAGTACGTTTATAATGAGCTGCCGCCTTTTCAAACTCTCCTAAGAATATGTGAGAGTTGCCCAGATTGCTGTTAGCTCGCCTTTCTGCAGCTTTATCTCCAAACTCTCGAGCTATTTTCAGTCTTTCGTTGTGATAGTAGATAGCCTTCTGAAATTCTCCTAACAAGTAAAACGTATTACCCAAGTTTCCACAAGCTCTTCCTTGAGCTGCTGAATCACCGAGCTCTCTCATTAACGCGAGGTTCTCTTCATAGTAACCGACTGCTTGTTGAAGACATTGCTTTATGTCTTCCGAAAATTCACCCGGATCATGATGACCTAAACATGTTCATATTGATTTAGTTTAGAATAATGAATTGTTGACATCATTATTTATTATTTGTAGTAGGAAATTGATGTTTTTATCAAAGATTGTTGACTCAAAGAAAATCCAATAAGGGTCTTCTCAAAAGAAAAAAAAAGTCATAAATTATAGTTTATAAATAAACTTTACAAAAGAAGAAAAAATATCTATTTCGCATTAATATTCAGTATAGCTAAAAATATCCACTGAATCTATATTTCTATTTGTACTTTATTATGTAAAACAATTCACTCGATTATTAGAATTAATTTCAATCAGATACATTGAGAATTGACTCTTTCCAAGCCAGATATTTCTTACATAATTCATATTTATTACTGGATATAAAGACATCAATAAATTCATCATCTACCCTATTTATCTTACCTCTACCACCCTGTTTTCCTTTAGCATGATAAACGTTTCCTAAATTATACAAAGCTCGTCCTTCACTTTGCTTGTCCCCAATCTCTCGTGATATTTCCAAATGTCTCTTACAACAAATCATCGCTTCATCAAACTTTCCCATCACTTTAAGAGTATTACCGAGATTTCCACTTGACTTAGCCTCTCCAAGTTTATCATTCATAGTCCTGGCGAGAGTTAAATCATGTTTGTGGTATTGCATTGCTTTTACATAATCTCCAAGATAGAAATATGCATTTCCAAGCTGACTATAAATTGCAGAGAGCGTTCGGAGATCATTTGTTCCGGCTTGAATAGCTGCTTGAAAAAATGCTACTCCTGATCGACAGTCTCCTGCTTTACAGAGACGCTCGCCTTCTAGAGCCAGTTCTAAGCACATATTACCATCACTGCTTCCATTCTGTGAATAAAAATCAATTATTTCTTCTAAATAAATCAGTTTGAAAATATGATCTGAAAGAATGGATGTTTCTATTGATATCAAAGATTAGTTTTGGAGCAATTAATCTGTAGATAGAGAAGTAAATGCTGACCCAATTACTCAAAGGAATGATTTCTGGTAATTTAATCTTGGTAAATAATACCTAGGATAGTATGGGATACGGTTTCTATTACTGAAGATGAATGTGATAATATAAAATATATCAGAAAGGAAATTAATTCAAGTTGATATTTTTAATGAAAATTATTTGTTTTTGAAATAATTATAAATATAATACAGATTTTTTTCATTACTTTTAAACAATTACTTCTGTTTACTTTTTTTTTGTCGAAATTAAAAATAAATCTCAATGTGGATAAAAATAGATGCATTCATGATTATTTTTAAAAACTACAATAGAATTTCACTTTCTTAATAATAATAGTTTTAATTGTAATAATTTAAAGTAATTGATAAAAAAAAATACTTAGAAATACTAAGTCATGATTCATGAATTGAATAATTTTTTCTTGTATATGATTCACTTACTTGTGTTTCAGGAGTTGAGCTTTCGACGTTAGCTACTCCCTCGTAAGACATTTTTGCTGATGAATAGGCTTTATTTACCATTTATCAATGATTAACGATGAGAATTTTTGAATAGAATTTTTGATTATTTTAGATCAACACGAGACTGAATATAACCTCAGCTCATTCAGATAAAGTTTTAACTGATATGAATGAACAACTTTTATATGTAGATATTGATAAATTAAAATAATACATTTTAAACTGTTTGGAGCTTTGTTGTAAAGAATTTCATTGACTCACTTCAACGTTTTTTATCAATTAAAGGCGCGTCAGCTGGCGTCATTCGTACTTGCACTTATACACAGCTATGGAAAGCCAAGCACATGAATTGGTTTCCACCCCAACGCGCTGCATTTACATGACAGCTTGGCTTTAGGTTCCTTTCCATGGAGGTTATGTCAGGTGACGCGGGAATTTTGGCGTCGGTTTTCAAATTCTCTTATGAAAAATGATAATATGTTTAATGAACAATTAAAATATCTAAGATTGTTTATTATATATGGAAATAAAGTTAATTAATTATTATTTAATTTTGAAAATTTGTAAAAAGTTAAATCATTAATGAAATTATTATGGTGACACAAATATTTTAATTTTCCCGCTCGAATAATTAACAATTATTCGAGATGTCGCTTTCGTCAGTTATCACAACCAGTTCAATCATCACGACTGATCACGACACCAGTTGGACGACCGCATTGACGAGAGAAGAGTTTTTTTCTGTAGTTTTATAAGGGATTATTTGTTTACTATTAAAAGTATAAAAAAAAAATAAAAGCCATGCCTCCAGCAACGGAATCAATGCCAAAAGAGAAACTGGAGAAACCATGGCGTGGAATAAATGCAATATTTCTTGGACCACCCGGCAGTGGAAAGGGAACACAGGTATTTTGACCTATGATCTTTAATTGAGAGCATCAATAGCCAATTTATATGTTTCTAAATCGCTAGTTATTTTTAACTATGTCATCTATTACTAAATCATTTTTTATTTTGAGTTTATTGACTTTCAATAATATTTTATCATATGTAGGCTCCACTATTCAAAGAAAGATACTGTATTTGCCATTTATCAACTGGAGACATGCTAAGAGCAGAAATTGATTCCGGTTCTCAGCTTGGCTCTGAGCTAAAAAAAATCATGGATGAAGGTAAACTAGTCAGTGATGACCTGGTTGTTAATATGATTGACAAAAATTTAAGTAAACCGGAATGCAAACGTGGCTTTTTACTCGATGGCTTTCCAAGGACAGTGCCTCAAGCTCAAAAGCTTGATGAGATGTTGGAAAAGCGACAAAAAAAACTTGATGCTGTTGTAGAATTTGGTATTGATGATAATCTTCTTGTACGACGAATAACTGGTCGTTTAATTCATACTCCAAGTGGTAGGACTTATCATGAAGAATTTGCTCCACCTAAAGTGCCCATGAAGGATGATGTTACCGGAGAACCACTGACTAGAAGATCTGATGATACTGCTGATACATTGAAGAAACGTCTATCCACTTATCATACTCAAACTCAACCTCTTGTTGATTATTATGCTCTCAAGGGCATTCACAATTATGTCAATGCCGCTAAAGCTAGCGAACAAGTGTTTAAAGACATTGATAGCATTTTTCTCAAGGCTATTAAAGAAGAAGAAAAGCCTGGATTTTTCAGCAGACTCTTTTCCTAAAGATGTTATTTGCTGAAATGTTAAAACAGAAGTTATTATTGATGCAGACTCATATTTCGTAGGCGAAAGTGATCAATAGCAGTAAAAAAGTTTTAAAATTTATCATCCAACATTGTACTATAGTAGTTCTACTCTTAATGGCAGTATATCACGGGTTTGTTCAAATTCTTTGAAATATTCTACTTGGAACAAATTTCTTCCTTAGTTTTTGTGTTAATATTTCTTTCAAAGCAGCATAATGCCTGCTTTTCCTGCTTTAAAAACGTACAATTGTTAATAATATTGCGCACATTTGTCAATATTTTTTATATATTTTTGCGATGAAATATAATTTCGAGCAATTATATCGTACAACAGAAAGTAAATTAATTTTCAGTCATGAAAGCGAATTCTAAAAGATGATATTTTCATCATCGTGTTCAATTTGATGATAAAAAAAAATTTTTAATGCAAAAATAAAGTAAAATTGTTGAATCTCAACTGTTGACTGAAAGGCTTATATAAGGCATAATAAAAAATGCTGACGCTTAATTACTATGATTGTCAATCATAATGAAAATGATTAATGAATGTTTCTTTTGTAGAAGATAGAAACTAAATTACATTCAAAACTTTTTATGTAGAATGAAGATTTTAATAATTGATCGATTTTTGCACATATTTTTTCAATCATTGATCAAATATTTGTATAATTATTTCAATTATCAGCACATCACATCACTTTTTGACTCTTAATTAATTTAAAATTTACTGTTATCGAATAATTAGCTTTTTAATCAATTCGACTTTAAAAAAATGTATAAAAATTAAAACTGCCACTATTGCGTAGTAATAAAAATTAAAAAAACTTCAACAAAACAGAAAAAAATCCGTTGTTGAACTAGAATGCGTTGCATTTGTTTATTGCCTAATTGATGTAAATATGAGCAAATATTTTAGATAAAAATGATCATAATAATTAAAGAAACTAGTGCTATTCTGTTATCAAGAAAGCCACATTAATGTAAAATAATATAAAGTTGGCTTTAAACACACAAAAAGAGAAGATTATATTGAATAGGAATGTATAAAATGAATAAAGATCATCAAATAATAATCACTGATTTATATTTTTTTCTATTCTATTTGATTTTAGAAAAATTATTATTTTTTATTGTATCTGATATTTTTACGAGTTAATCAAATGTTTATATATTTTATCAGCTAACATGAATAATTTTCTTTATCATCACCATTTGATAGTCTAAAAAATTGAAGAAATAACAAGCTTATAAATTTATCATACCATTCAAGCATTACATAATAAATCAGAATTAGGAAATTACATAATAGCGAGTTATTTTAACTATTATCATTCGTATTTATTTCTCAAAGCACTTATTTGTTTTTATTTATTATTTCTTACTCTGCTTTATTTCATGAACATCAGCCTTTAGCTCTTCTCTTCGTCATGACAACATGGCATTCAAAACAGTAAACATCTGCTTGTCAGTAGCCATGCGCTTTTTACTCTATTCTGACATTTATCAATAGTTTTTATAAACAATACTCTTTCTAACTGTAAAAATGTGATACAGAGAGTTCTTTGCATCATTTTTGCCTACAATCTTATATCTCTTTGTCATTACTCTATCAAAATAATAAAAAACATCAATCAATATTACGATATAAAATATCAGGCATCAAAAATGTTTGTTTACTTAAGTAAGAAAATTGCAGTACCAAACAATTATCGATTAAACTGTGTAGCATGGAGTCAGAAACATGGATTTATCGCAGTCGGTGGTGATGATGGGCTCTTAAAAGTTCTCAAAGTTGATGGTACCTCATCATCAACTAATGCTGTTAGCAGTGGAAAAAATAGGGCCACAGCAACATCAAGCAATTTAAGTATGAATCAGACCCTAGAAGGTCACAGTAGTCATGTCCAAGTTGTGACCTGGAATGAAGAGTACCAAAAATTAACATCTAGCGATCAAAGTGGAGTCATAATAGTCTGGATGCTCTACAAAGGTTCTTGGTATGAAGAAATGATAAACAACCGTAATAAGTCTGTTGTCAAAGGCATGGCTTGGAGTACGGATGGTCAAAAAATCTGTATAGTTTACGAAGATGGTGCAGTAATTGTTGGAGCAGTTGATGGAAATCGAATATGGGGAAAAGAATTAAAAAACATTTCTTTAAGTGGAGTCCAATGGTCTCCAGATGGAAAACTGTTATTATTTGGCTTAAAAAATGGAGCAGTTCATCTTTATGATAATCAAGGAGTCTTTTTAATGAATTTAAATATTAATTTGCCAACAGGTGTCCCTCAAACAATTGTTGCGATGCACTGGTATAACGGAAAATGCGGATATACTGCGCTAGACAGCCCTACTTTAGCAGTTTGCTATGAAAGTGGACGACTTTTATTGATGAGAGATATCAGTGATGATCAACCTGTAGTTGTAGAAACTGGAATCACCAATGCTTGGTGCTGTTGGAATAATTATGGTTCTGTTTTAGCAGTTACTGGTATTTTATCAACAATAATCAGTGGAGAAGCTAAAGATTCTAACATGATACAGTTCTACTCTGCTTTCGGAGAGCAACTAAAAACATTAAAGGTACCTGGAAGAGAAGTTACAGGTTGCTCGTGGGAAGGAGGATCCCTAAGAGTAGCTTTATCTGTTGATTCTCATATTTATTTTGCTAACATTCGACCTTCATACAAATGGACTTACTTCAGTAATACAGTAGTCTTTACTAATGAGCGAATAATGAAAGATGGAGTAAGTATCATCTTTTGGAACACAAGTAATAATACGTGTTGTACAAGAAATGTAAGATCATTGATTTCTATAACTTCTTCTGGAGATCATTGTACTCTGGCTGTCAGAAATGAAGAAGGTCGGGGAGAACAATTTGCTCTATTAGTTTGTAATTCAATTGCTACGCCAGTTGATACCAAATACTTGGATTTGGATCCACTTTATATAGCAATGACATCTATGTTGGTAATTGTGGCATCGAAAAATAATTTTCTCGTTTGGAGTTTTAGAACACCTAGAAATACTACTACTAATCAACAGCGAGGGCGAAGAGATAAATTTTATCATGTTGATGACACACCAACTGGAGTTACGGAGGTTATTCAAGACCTAGATCGTGATAGAAGTTTTGAAACTCCAATGAATACTAAGGCTACCATGGATCCAATCAGTTCTATTGCTGCTACTGATAAAGTCCTCTTAATAGCTAGAGAGTCTGGGATGATTCAAAGATATTCATTACCGCAAATAACTTTAACGAACCGATATACTACATCATCAAAGCCTCAGTATATTGCAATTAATTGTAATTCAACCCGAGCTTCTGTCATTGATTTTTCAGGAGTGCTGACAATGTTAGATCTAGAGGGATACAGAAATCAGGGAAGTGATCAAGAAAATATTTCTAAATTTGAAAGAAAGGATGTTTGGGCAATGTGTTGGGCTGAAGATAATCCTACTTTGATAGCAATCATGGAAAAGACTCGGATGTACGTGATCCGAGGTGTAGATCCTGAAGAACCTATTTCTTGTTCAGGATATATTTGTTCTTTCGCTGACCTTGAAATAAGATGTGTTCTCCTAGATGATTTGGTTCAAAAACCTGACGATACTCGTCCAGATCTAATTGTAGATCTTGAAGTAAAGTCTTTAAGAGACACTAAGGAATTGTTAGCTAAAGTTGGACTAAAAGAAGCTCATGATTTCATTCAAGATAACCCCCATCCAAGACTCTGGCGATTATTAGCCGAGTCAGCTTTAAAAGAGAGAGATCTCGACATGGCTGAAAATGCTATGGTTCGATGTACAGATTATCTGGGCATTCAGTTTATTAAAAGACTGCAAGCAATTCATAATGATCAGTTAAAAAAAGCTGAAGTTGCTGCTTTTCTAGGCAATTATGATGAAGCAGAGAAACTTTACTTAGAATTAGATCGTAGAGATTTAGCAATTTCATTACGACAAAAACTTGGAGATTACTTTAGAGTAATTCAGCTGATGAAAATGGGAATCGGAGGATCGGATAAACAAATGGAACAAGCATATAATAAGATAGGCGATCATTTTGCAGAAAGACAGAAATGGGAGAGTGCTAAAGAATATTATGAAAAAGGAAGAAACTTGGAAAAATTAATTGAATGTTATTATAAACTTGAAGACTACGATCGTCTCGCACATACAGTTGATCAATTACCTGATAAATCACCAGTTCTGAAGACTGTAGCAAAAATGCTAGCATCTGTAGGTATGTGTCCTCAAGCCGTTGGAGCTTATATTAAATATGGAGATATCAAGCAAGCAGTGGATACCTGTGTTCGATTAAATCATTGGGATCAAGCAGTGGATTTAGCTAAAACTTACAAGATGGCACAAATCAATGATCTTCTAAATAAATACGCCAATCATTTATTAACTAATGGTAAAAAGCTTCAAGCAATTGAGTTATATAGAAGTGCTAATTGTTTCCTTCAAGCTGCAAAGTTGCTAATAAGTCTTGCTGAAGAACAAGCAAAGGCTAAATTAAATCCATTAAGAGTAAAAAAACTTTTTGTTTTAGCAGCTTTATTAATTGAAGATCATATCAATAGCACTCCAGTTATCAAAGGAGCAAGAAGCAATATTGTAATGGGGTTGACAGAAAGTAATGAAGATGCAAGAGTGATTGAAAATGCTTGGAGAGGTGCTGAAGCTTATCACTTTTTATTATTAACAAACCGGCAAATTTATAATAAAGATACTGATGCTGCTATGAAGACTGCTCTAAGATTAAGAGAATATGAAGACATACTGGATCCTGAAGACATTTATTCTCTTCTAGCTTTGTCGAGTGCTACCAATCAAGCCTTTTCCACATGCTCCAAAGCTTTCATCAAGCTAGAAGGTTTAGACAAAATTCCTGAATCTAAAAGAGAAGAATATGAAGAACTTGCCTTACAAATTTTCATGAAATACACACCGAAGGATACAAAAAATAATAAATCTGAATGTGTGAGCTGTGAAAGTCTGGTACCTGACTGGTGTGTAGCTTGTCCCAATTGTTCGACAAGATTTCCACCTTGCATTGCATCTGGAAGACCCTTGATGGATCTTAGCAATGCTTGGATTTGCACTGTTTGTCGACATCATGTGGCTACTGAAAGAGATGTTGTTAATATTAATGCCTGTCCACTTTGTCACAGTACAATAACTTATATGTAGACATTTGAAATTTTACTGATTAAAAAAAGTATTTTTTATAGTTATAATATTTTTAAGTTTAAAATAATGTTGACTGTGAGAATGTAACTGAATCCGTCCAATTAATAAAAAAAAAGATTTTTTTTAAAAATTATAACTATTTCTTTTTGTTAAATAATTATTATTATTCACATCTAGTAATAACATAAATTTTTTCTTGTTTTCTCTAGCATTGAAGAAGTAAAATGATGGTGAATTGTATATTTGCGTATGTTTCCCACCGGAATACCTGAGAATAACGTAAACAAATAAAATGTAGCATCAGTCAACTGGAAGATAGGGAGACAAATAAAAATGCAATTTTTGTATTAAATATTCAAAACTAATAACAGAGTCAAATTCTTTCTTTCCTTAGAAAGACTAGAAAAAAATTAGAAAATAAAACATGAGATATTATTATTGCGTGACAGTCTATAAGATAGGAAGAATTTTCCTCATGAAAAAATAGCAATTTATACAATGCCTTGTATCTTATTATTTATTTATTACTCAAGAGACATAATGTAAAAATTTAATTTCTTTTATATTAGAATATTATCGAAGAAAACCCGTATGATAGAAATACAATGTTACAACTGCTTTTGAGTTGTGTAATTTATTTAGGTGTATCAATGAGTTAGTCAGAGTTGAATATTAATTATTTTCATTATTTGTTTCTAAAAAAAATTCCAGAACAAATCCAGCTTTATGTGCGTGTCTAGAATTGATCTAAAATGATAACAACATCAGTATCAATTTATGCAAACATGCCAACACCTTCTCTACCGTTGGACTCTTGGTTTCCTTTTGATACATCATGTTTGATTGGATATTGGATTGCATATACTCATCAGATCACTTTGGGAGCTGTTATTAACGATGGGTATGATTCTCTAGTGCCAAGCTTGATGCTTGAAATTTGTGTGCAATTCAAGATTCTAATTCATCATTTGAGTATTATCTCGAATGGAATCCAATCCCCCAATTTGATTGTTGATATGAAACAACTGGAGGCCAATGTATTGCTGATCATGACAAGCATCATATTACAATACTTCATCATATTACAAGTTAATAAATAATCATTTGAATGAATTAATCAATGAGCCTGCTTTCATTTCCAGATTTGTATATCTTATTTACATGCTTTACCAACCTTTTATTTAATGTGATGCTGGCAGTGAAGTTATTTAAAAGGTTCTCTAATCTATTCTATAAAAAAGTAGTTTAGATAATGGTAGTAATAATGATAGATAGAAATAATAGTAAATTATCATATTAATGTATAAATGTATCTTTTAGAGTCCTGACCTAAGCAGAAGGAATGGTGTATATTATCTAATAACAGTCATAAATCTTTTCTGTTAATGATGATCAGAAGCAATTGCCCTTTCACTTTCATCACTGGTTATATCATTCAATTATCTATGGCTTCATATACTCAGGTAAATTTTAAACTTTTTTCCTAATCATCATTTTAATATTTTATTTTTTTAGTTTTAAAGGTGCTGAGCTTTCTCACTCAATTAACAACGTTTTCAAACCATCATCAGAATGATAATGTACTTCGATGTTGAATGTTAGAATACATTCATCCAGATTTGTTGAAATGCAGTAATAAAAATTAAAATGATGTATATGATTTACAATATTACATTTTTATCTATATTTCATCACTTTAATCTTAATTGATATAAATAAATAATTTTTGAGTTAAAAAAATTTGTGATGTTAAGAAAATATGCTAATAATAAGTCATTCTTTATGAATCACTTCTCTTTCACTTCAACACCAACTGGTTGTCACTTTCTTGCTAACAAGAAAAATAAGTAACGTAGAAAATTACTGGTAAATGTTGTTTTTTCTAACGTACTAGTATTATAAGTTGGTTTTATATCAGTCAAACATGAAGAGTAAGTAAGAGTCATTAGTACAAATGCTATTAAAAATTTATTGATGATAAAATTTGAAATAATTCTGAACATATTTGCTTATTTTTTATCCCTTCAAGATAATTAATGTAATTAATAAATTCCTATGAATTTTTTTCTTTATAATAAATAAATGAATTATTATTATTAGAATCAATAATATTTTTTTATTTTTATTGTATTTTAGTACACCATGGTAGCAATCAACTATTTGAATTTCACTATCTCTGAGTGACTGGGAATTAAATATACAATAATGGAAAGCTTTGGTCACAACTTTTTGCACATGTCATTTTTCACATTACATCTATATAAATCAATCAATTTTTTCGACGAAAAAAAAAGACATGCATGAGGATATAATTTTCTCATATAAAATGCAAATTATAGGTGTGACGAATTTCTTTTTTTCCGGTATACATGAAGAAAATTTCCGAAATTATATTTTACTACAACCCTTTCGTGACATCGAATAAAAAAAATATTTTTCATAGAAAAATTAAACCTCTTTCAACGTTAAGTATCTCATTACTTATTCATCATATACGACATATAAGACTTAGGAGCACCAAGTCATTCTACTTCTAGCCATCAATCAGTAAAGAATTACCAGAAATGTTATCATTACCTTTTGGCTTTACTATTTTCCAGTACATTGGTCTGTGGCAACCGTTACATTGGAATTCTAAATTGACAATAAAACTTTACCAATTTTACTCTTGTTTTGCAATCACTTTTCTTTACACCAATGTATTATCTGAAATAATTGAACTATTTAGAGCATATGAAAACTTTGAAATTTTCATCAACAACTTGGTTGTATTTCTTAGCATGTTTGGGTGTTCTATAAAAGCAGCAAGTGTTTTAAATCAACGTGCTGGACTGGTTAAATTAATTATGACACTTTCAAGTCATCCATGTTTTCCTGAGGACCAAAATGAAGAATTAATTCAACAGAAATTCGACAAAACTATTCAGTAAGTTAACTTGATTTTTCTTCATCATTTTTAATGTCACCAAGTCGATAATTAATTATTTGAAATAAAAATTGTAATTAAAATAATATTGTTCCAGCACGAGAACTATACTGTATGTGAGTGTAACAGGAATGACTGCATCATTAGTAGCAGTTATTGCATTCTTCACTGATGGTGTGAGATATGTATTACCATTTCAAGCATGGCTTCCATTTGATATATCGCATCCTATCAAATACTGGATTGCATATACTCACCAGAATATTGCTCATCTTATGGGAGCTGCTATCAATGCAGCTTATGACACAGTGATACCAGGTTTGATGCTTCAGATTTGTGCTCAATTCAGCATTCTCAAGCATCGTCTTAGTATAATATCAGAAACAGTCCAATCTAAAGATTACAAGTCAAATGATATTAACAAGAAGGAAGCTGAATGCTTTGCTAATCATGTCAAACATCATCTTCAAATATTCCAGTTGAGTTAATAAATATAATACTACCAATATTGTCAAAAGTTTCCAAGTAAAATATCTCAATATCTTTATTTAGATTTGCTGAGACGTTAAATGGAGTTTTTGGTTTCGTTTTTCTTATTCAGTTTACAATAAGTGCTACTGTGATATGCGTGACAGTCTACAGCATGTCTAAACTTGATTTAGGTAGCTCTGACTTAACTCCTATGACTATGTACCTTACATGTATGCTTTATCAGCTGTTTTTGTTTTGCTATGCCGGTAGTGAAGTTATCACAAAGGTAACTTGAGTTTATTTTTATATATTACTTAAGTATTTACCTAAATAAAAATACTCACTCGTCATTCTGATGATTGTTTGTAGAGTTCAGAAATTGCTGAAGCTGTCCATACAATTCGTTGGTATTTACTAAATAATAGCAGTCATAAAGGATTACTTGTAATGATGCTTAGAAGCCTCAAGCCTATCAAATTTACTACTGGACATGTAATTGAGTTGTCTATGGAATCATATACCCAGGTAAGTCATGGAATTGCTGTCAATATTCAGTAGTATTTTTTTATATCATCATTGTAGTCATTTATATCTCTTCTTTCAGGTTGTAAAACTTTCATATTCAGTGTACAATGTTTTGAAACAATCTTCTGAATAGATAGATGTGCATACCTGGAACCAGAACACAGTCATTATTATTTTAAAATATGTTTCATTATTAACTTTAAAGTATTGTCAGTTGTTTATGATAATATATTTATTTTAATCAACTTAAAGCTTCGTTACATAATAGGATTTCTTGAACAGTCTTTAGTTTACAACAGCTAGAGTTAAAATGTCTCTTTCAATAATATCTATGCAAAAAACTGTCGATATTGAAAGTAAAAAAAAAAGGATTTACAACAGACACGTATCAATATCTCATCAAATATGAATCACTTTTCTGTGCTGAGTTTTTTCTTTGAATGTTCAATGCGTAGGGGAAGGAAATAAAAATAAATTTCTTGAGAACCCTTCGGTGACAGCTGATAATAGAAAAAAAATTCCCTTAGAAATAAAGAAAAGTCGCTTGAGACAATGTCAAAGCTGTCATTATTTATTCATAATTGCAATTCTCTATGAGGGAAATCAGCTCATTCTTACTTTGTACTTCATCCAGTCAAGAGGTTGTTCTCTACTGGTAAAATATTCTTACAATGTCGGTTCTACCTCACAATCTAGCTCTCTTTCAATTAATTGGTGTATGGAGACCAGTCAACTGGCCTTCAGGATGGAAGTACTTGTGTTATAATGTTTACTCATCTATTGTTCTTTTTCTAATATTTTCTAGTGTTTGTACTGAAATAGTTAAGCTCGTAGGATCTTACACAAACTTTAAAATATTTTTGACTTCTATTACGGTATTAATAACGATGGTTGTAAACTGTGCAAAAGCTGTTGATGTTTTAGACAAACGTAAAAATATTATGAAAATGATTCAAATTCTAATCAGCCCTCCTTGCTTGCCACGAAACTCTGAAGAGGAATTGATTCAAAACAAATATGATCGTATCATCAGGTAAATTTTCTACATTCATTAATCTATATTTTACATTAAATACTTTATCTATTGTCATACCAATAATCCTTTTACTTGCAGATTTAGATCTTTACTCAACCTGTTATTAGTAGGATCAGCTATGGGCCTATCCTTCGTTGAATCGTTATTTTGTGATATTCCTTTCCAAAAGTTAGCATATAACGCATGGTATCCAATTAATTTATCAATTTACACCAACTACTTGGTAGCATGGATCCATCAGAATCTAGCTCACATATATGGAGCACTAATTACTGCTGATTATGATACCTTTGTTTCTGGATTCATGCTCCAAAGCTGTGCCAAGTTTGATATCCTGAACTACCGTCTCAGTAATGTATGTTACAAAATTCAACATAATTCAAACAAACCAGAACATGATGATACACAGGAGTACATAAAAGAAGTAATTGATTGCATTAAATATCATCTTACAATAATCGAGTTAAGTTATTAATAAGATTTTATTTCATTTTATCTAAAATGAGACCAATTAAATCAATGTTTTTTAGAAAACAATATATGTATATTACTCCAAATCATAATATGGATTACTTTATTAATTAATTAATCTAAGCCAGGAATGACCTTGACTGTGTTTTTTTAGATTCAGCAAATACACAAATGATACTTTCAGTTCTGTTATACTGCTTCAAGTTCTAGTAAGCACTGGAATTATTTGTGTAACAGTCTTTACGTTATCTCAAACAGGCATCAATGATTCCTATTATCCTGTATTGATTATTTATCTAGCCTGTATGCTTGTACAGCTTTTTTTATATTGTTATACAGGGAATGAAGTAACACTGAAGGTATTTTGATTAGCATCTAACATTGATTGTGTTTATGCATGTGGAATGTTTCTCTTACAGAGTGCTGATGTGGCTGAAGCTATTTACTGCAATGTTGATTGGTGGACAACAAGTGTTGGTGTGCAAAAAAAATTATTATTCATGATGTTATGCAGCACAGATTTAGTAACATATACTTGTGGAAAAATCTTTGATTTATCCATCGAATCATACAAAAATGTACGATTTAATTTGATTCTTTTTGACAGAGTATATATCACCAGTGATACTTCAAAATATTTATATTTTCAGATAGTTAAATTCTCTTATTCTGCATTCAATGTTCTTCAACAGTCATCAATTAATTAAAATTCTATTTTAGATTATTATGTCTAGATTAATTTAAAGATTATTAAAGTAAAAAATTTTAATGCAATAAATATATTTAAAAGTACTCAAGAGTTAGGTTTGAATGATGATTGGTTTAAACTACTACTTTCACTAAGCACTACAAACTTATTGTTATACATGATAGTTATTGCTCTGTGGAAGTTCAAAGACATAATGTCCCATCTGACCACATCAGTACAATAAACGATCGATGTTTATAAGGAAAAAATGATGGAAATATCGTCGTGAAGCATAAACATACAATTATGTAATCAAGTATGCAAGACGTTCTGCTAGTTAGTTACGTTTCTTTCAACAATTTCAAGACGCAGGGGTGGAAATAAAAATAAAACTCTTGTGAACCCTTCGGTGACAGCTGATAATAAAAGAAAAATTCTCTTAGGAATAAAAAAAAAAGCAACTGGAGGAAACGACTTAACGGTTATCATTTATTCATAATTACAGTTCTTCATAGGGGAAGTCAACTCTTTTTCACTTTGTACCCTGTCCAGTTAAGAGTTTGTTGGAAACTGAAAGGAACATTCTTGCAATGTCAGTCCTACATATTAATTTCGCTCTTTTTCAAATCGTCGGTTTATGGAGACCAGTCAACTGGTCTTCAGGATGGAAATACTTTTGTTACAATTTTTACTCATCTATTGTTCTTTTTTTAATATTTTCTAGTGTTTGTACTGAAATGGTTAGGCTCATAGGATCTTATAAAAATTTAGAAACATTTCTGACTTCGTCAACAGTATTGATAACGATGATTGCCAACTGGGCAAAAGCTGTTGATATATTGGACAAACGTGAAAATATCCTGAAAATGATACAAGCCTTGCTTAGTTCTCCTTGCTTACCACAAGACTCTGAAGAGGAATTAATTCAAAACAAATATGATCGAATCATCAGGTAAGTTTTTTATTAACTGTGGACATGACATGAACTCAGACCCATTTTATCAATTAAGAATATATTTTATTGAATTATTAGTATAAAAAAAAATGCGTTGTATTTTTCTATCTATAGGTTCAGATCTGTAACCAACATGATATTGGTGGGAACAACTGTAGGATTAACAGTCATCGAATCATACTTTTGTGATCTCCCTTTCCAAAAGTTAGCATATAACGCATGGTATCCAATGAATTTATCAATTTATACCAACTATTTGTTGGCATGGATCCATCAAAGTATAGCTCATATCTATGGAGCACTGATTTCTGCTGATTATGATACTTTTGTTTCTGGATTCATGCTCCAAAGCTGTGCCAAGTTTGATATCTTAAACTACCGTCTTAGCAATATATGTCGCAAAATTCAAAGCAATGTAATGAAGTCAGGATATGATAATAAAAGTGAATGTACAGAAAAAGTAATTGATTGCGTTAAATATCATCTCTCAATAATTGAGTTAAGTAATTCATGATTTTTTATTTTATTAGATGTTAGTAGAATATAGTTCCATGTGATAACTGTTATTCCGATAATAAAAAATGTTTTGTCATATTCTGTGATTGATGATGGATTGATAACTTTTTAATTGATTGATTGATTGGTATTTTCTCAGGTTCAGCAGATTTACAAACGATACATTCAGTTCCATCATACTCTTTCAGTTTTCAGTGAGCACTGGAGCTATTTGTGTGACAGTCTACTCCTTATCCCAGATACCGGTCAGCCATCCTTATTTTCCTGTATTAATGATTTATTTAGCATGCATGCTGGTACAGCTTTTTCTTTATTGCTATGCTGGGACCGAAGTAACTCTTAAGGTGATTCTCACATGCTTGTCTGATTAGCAACACCTAAATTTGCTTGTGTTTATGCATGTGAAATGCTTCTCTTACAGAGTGCTGATGTGGCTGAAGCTATTTACTGCAATGTTGATTGGTGGACAACAAGTATTGGTGTACAGAAAAAATTATTGTTCATGATGTTACGAAGCACAGACTTAGTAACATATACTTGTGGGAAAATCTTTGATTTATCCATCGAATCATACAAAAATGTAAGTTCCTTTTTAACTTATCTCGTCAAAGTTTAAGTGGATAAAAATATAGCATTATGTCCATACTTTCAGGTAGTCAAATTATCTTATTCGACATTTAATGTTCTTCAACAATCATAACTTAACTAAAACACTACTGCATACACTATTTAGTCATAGACATAAATTCATTTTTTTTTAAATATATTATCCCAATATAATGTGAAAGCTCACCGAGTTGGAATACACCTGTACATAAAACTGGAATTGCTATAATGAATATGATACATATAATAAGCACAATATTTATCAAACCATCATTCACAAAAAATTGAATAATTTTCTGTATGACATTTTTGTAACTAATAAAAGGTAAGATCAAATCAAATTTTTACAAATGTTTTAAGACAAAGAAAAACATTGGAATAATACTCCTGATGACAACTGGTTCAAACTACTATCTTAACAAGGCAAGACTAACTGAGTAACTTTATAGTCGTTTTTCCAAGGAAGTCGAACGACAGTATGCCCTAATCGACTGTATCAGCACAATGAACGATCGATGTTCATAAAGGAGAAAATGATGGCGACAACGTTCTGAAGCAGAAACATAGAACCATGTCATCAAGTATGCAAAATACTTCTCTCAATCATTAAATTTTCTTACGGCTTGAATGCATAGTCAGGGAAAATAAAATTTAATTTCTTACGAACCCTTCGATGACAATTGATAATAGCGGACTAATTGTAAAGACAAGAAATAAAGACCCAGGTTGTCGTTATTTATTCATAATTGCAGTTCTTCATAAGGGGAGTCAGCTCATTTCTACTTTGGTCTTCGTCTAGTTAAGAGTTTGTGTGTTACTAACAGAACATTGAACATGTCAGTTCTACCTCACAATCTAGCTTTGTTTAAATTGATTGGTCTATGGAGACCAGTCGACTGGTCTTCAGGATGGAAGTACTTGTGTTACAATGTTTATTCATTGATTGTGGTCATTACTATATTCTCTAGTGTTTTTACCGAAATTGTTAAACTCATTAGCTCTTACGAAAACTTAGACACGTTTCTAACTTCTGCTACGGTGTTGATAACAATGGCTGCAGACTGTGTGAAGATTACAAACATGCTGAGCAAACGAGAAAATATTTTAAAAATGATTCAAACCCTTATCAATAATCCTTGTTTACCACGGAACTCGGAAGAGAAATTGATCCAAAACAAGTATGATCGAATCATCAGGTGAGTTTCTTTCCATTTTATCATGAATCATAAAATTAAGATTAAATAATTAACATCCTTTTATTTAAAGATTCAGATCTTTGGCCAACATCACACTAATCGCAGCAACTGTGTTATATTTTACCATCGAATCATTATTTCGTGATATTCCTCAACAAAAATTACCATACAACGCTTGGTACCCAATGAGTTTGTCCATTTATGCCAACTATTTATTGGCATGGATCCATCAGAATCTAGCTCACATATATGGAGCACTAATTACTGCTGATTATGATACTTTTGTTCCGGCATTTATGCTACAGAGCTGTGCTAAATTTGACATCTTGAGCTATCGCCTCAGTAATATATGCTGTAAAATTCAAAATAATCTTGAACAACCTGGATGTAATAACAAAAAAGAGTACATAGATGAAGTAATTGATTGCGTTAAATATCATCGTTTAATAATTGAGTTTAGTTATATATCAATTTTTTTTATTTCAATAGAGTTCAACTGAATTTCATTAGCTTCGTGTACATTAAATGCATTTTTTTCTATACACGAAAAAATGTGTGCCTACAACAAGATCGTCTTGGCGTAGTTGCTCCAATATACACATCAATGTCTTACTGATCTAGAATATTATTTTGTTATCTCATCAAGACCACACTTTGGTTGCTTCAGGATAGTCTAGTATCTGCTATCAAAAGAATTTTAATGTTATGGCAAGACATTCCTGTTGTAGGCACTGAACATTGGTCTGTTCTAACAATTTAGCAACTCTTTATTTTTTTTTTCTAAACACTCAAACACTAATCGTCAATATTGACTGATCAATTGATTGATTAATGCAATTTAATGATGATCTTGTTTTGTATGTATGATAATGTTTTTATCAGGTTTTGCAAATACACCAACGATACTTTCAGTTCTGTTATATTACTCCAATTTTCAGTAAGCACTGGAGTTATCTGTGTGACAGTTTATTCTTTATCTCAGACTGCAGTCAGCGATCCTTTTTTCCCAATGTTGATTTCTTATCTAGCATGCATGCTAGTGCAGCTTTTTCTTTATTGCTATGCTGGTACCGAAGTCACTCTTAAGGTGATCCTCACATGCTGGCCTGATTAGCAACATTTCAATTATATCTGATTGTGTTCACGTATGTGAAATGATTCTTTTACAGAGTGCTGATGTGGCTGAAGCTATTTACTGTAACGTAGATTGGTGGCTTACAAGTATTGCTGTACAGAAAAAATTATTGTTCATGATGCTACGCAGCACCAAACTAGTGACATATACTTGTGGAAAAATATTTGATCTATCTATCGAGTCATACAAAAATGTAAATTATAATTTATAAAGATAAATTTCAATTCTACAAGAATACTTTAAAAGATTTGTATTTTTAGGTTGTCAAATTTTCATATTCAGCATACAATGTGCTTTAACGATAATAACTACATTTAGATGATGTTGTAGTCGGGGACTGTAGTAACAGATGAATTAACAGACCACTCAGTGGTCTGAATGTGAGCCGAAAATTCCACACGACTAACTTCCTAGTGGAAAGAATGAGAAGATTTGTTGTGTTTTTAATATCAATTATTATTACCATAATCATTGTAATTATATTTATTATTATTATAATTATATTAATTATAATTATTATTAGGAGATCGCGCGTGAAAGTTATCCGTTAATTGCAAAATTTGGCTAGTTTACTAAAGTTTGGTGTGATTATGTGTCGAATACAATCAATCTCATGTCGATATCATTTCTATAAATTCTAATCACAAATTGGTATTAACAAATTACTTTACACGACACTAAGCACTCGTAGATATGATAATCATTCCTCTATGGAGTCCAAAGACCAAATGGCTCATCTAACGATACCTGCACAATGGACGATCGATATTTATAAAAGAGAAAATGATGGGGATATCAAGTATGCAAGATACTTCTCTTAGTCATTAAATTTACTTGCAGTTTTAATGCATAGTCAAGGAAAATAAAACTTAATTTCTTACAAACCCTCGATGACAGTTAATAATAGCAGACTAATTTTCCTCAGAATAGAGAGAAGTCGCTTAAAACATAGACAAAGCTCTTTATTTATTCATCATTGCAGTTCTTCATAGGGGAAGACAGCTCATTTTTGCTCTACACTTTGTCCAGTTCAGAGTTTGTATGTGACGGATAAAACATTGAACATGTCAGTTCTACCTCACAATCTAGCTTTGTTTAAATTGATTGGTCTATGGAGACCAGTCGACGGATCTTCAAGTTGGAAGTACTTGTGTTACAATGTTTATTCATTGATTGTGGTCTTTACTATATTTTCTAGTGTTTTTACCGAAGTTGTTAAACTCATCAGCTCATACGAAAACTTAGATACGTTTTTAACTTCTGCTACGGTGTTGATAACAATGATTGCAAATTTTGCAAAGGCAGCAGACATACTGGACAAACGTGAAAATATTTTAAAAATGATTCAAACCCTTATCAATAATCCTTGTTTACCACGGAACTCGGAAGAGAAATTGATCCAAAGCAAGTATGATCGAATCATAAGGTGAGTTTTTTATGTTAAAGTTGATCAAGCATATCAGTTTGGTTGAGATGTCATTAAATACAAACAATTCTTTTACTTACAGATTTAGATCATTGGCCAATATTTCATTTGTATTCACAGCAGTGCTCTTCACTGTTGTTGAATCATTCTTTTGTGATATTTCTTTGCAAATTTTACCATATGATGCTTGGTATCCAATGAATTTATCAATTTATACCAACTATTTGTTGGCATGGACCCATCAAAGTATAGCTCATATCTATGGAGCATTGATTTCTGCTGATTATGATACTTTTGTTTCTGGATTCATGCTCCAAAGCTGTGCCAAGTTTGATATTCTTAGCTATCGTCTTAGCAATATATGCCGTAAAATTCAAAATAATTTAAATAAATCAGAACATGACGATAAAAAAGAGTATATAAAAGAAATAATTGATTGCGTTCGATATCACCTCACAATAATCAAGTTAAGTTATTTATCATTTTTTTTTAACCTAATCAGATGCAATAAAAATTTATTAATATCTTAGATGTGCAATACTTTTTTATACGTACACAATGTTTATGTACTCGAACCTATGTCTACAACAAAACTGTCTTGAAGTTGTAACAGCAATGTCTTTTTACTAACCTCAAATATAGTGCTGCCATTACATTTAGACGGGCATTCTAGTAAACTTCAGAATACTCTTGTTTGTTATTAAAAAAATATTACGTTCTTTGTTATAACAATCAAACTTTTTTTTGTTTTAAGTGATTTTTTTTTATAAATACTCTAATACTGATCATCAATATTTATTGTATTGTTAATTGATTGATGTAATTGAATAATGACTTCATTATGTATGCATGACGGTGTTTTTTCAGATTCAGCAAATACACAAACGATACTTTTAGTTCCATCATACTCGTTCAGTTTTCAGTAAGCACTGGAGTTATTTGTGTGACAGTCTACTCCTTATCCCAGATACCGGTCAGCCATCCTTATTTTCCTGTATTAATGATTTATTTAGTATGCATGCTGGTGCAGCTTTTTCTCTATTGCTACACTGGTACCGAAGTAACTCTCAAGGTATTTCTTTCATGTTCATCTGATTACAAATAATATGCATGTTAGATGATTCTTGTACAGAGTGCTGATGTGGCTGACGCTATTTACTGCAATGTTGATTGGTGGACAACAAGTGTTGATGTGCAAAAAAAATTATTATTCATGATGTTATGCAGCTCAGATTTAGTAACATATACTTGTGGGAAAATCTTTGATTTATCCATCGAATCATACAAAAATGTAAGTTCCTTTTTAACTTATTTCGTCAATGTTTAAGTGGATAATAAATATAGCATTATGTCCATACTTTCAGATAGTCAAGTTATCTTATTCGACATATAATGTTCTCCAACAATCATAACTTGATTTCAATGTTACTATAGTCCTAGATATTCAGATAAATTTATATAATATTTAAATTATCATTTTTCTAAATCACACTTTTTTTCTAAAGGAAACTTTAGTAATTAATAAAATAAAAAAGATTACTGAAAAGTTTACAGAATCAACATTATTAGAATATGAGTTCTCAGTTGATTAACAGTTGGTTTAAACTACCATCTTCACAATACACTTAGTACTGATCAATATTATAGTTTTTATTTTAAGGGAGTTCACCAAAATGCTTCATCCAAAATTTTCGTATATGTTATTACGTATTCATGTACATAAATGAATAAATGAAGTATGTGTTTTACTAATCCTAGATAGGTTACCTTAGGATAGGAATTTATGTGATAGCCTTTACTTTGTCTCAAGTAGCAATATCATATCTTTTATCTTCCTATATCGATTATTTATCAACCAAGTCATTTTTAAGGTATTTATTATATATTCTAATTACATTCAATCATATATAATTGTAAAACATCATGACATTTAGGTGAAATTGATTTTTTATAGAGTGCAAATGTGGTAAAAGCTATTTACACCAACGTAAATTAGTGGATCACAAATAGTGGTGTAGAAAAAAAAAATATTCTTGCAGCAAAATCTTTGATCCATTCATCAAGTCATACCAAAATGTAAGTTTCTATTTCGTTCTGGCAACGTTCAATTTAATTAAAATGGTTCATAGTGTTTATATTTTCAGGTAGTCAAATTATCTTATTCAGTCTACAATGCTCTTCAACGGTCATAACTTGACTTAAATTCTACTAATGATCGTCTCACAAAGCACTGCTAACTGATGGTTAGATATAATTGTCTTCCCTCGATAGAAGTTCAAAGACGGAATGACCCATCTGACAATATTTGCACCACAGACGATCGATTTTTGTAAAGAAAAAATAATGAAAATATTGTCGTAAAGCAGAAACATATAATTATCTAATCAAGTATGCAAGATGCTTTCCTGAAAAGTCATATTTTTTTACAATTTCAATACGTAGGGGATGAAAATAAAAATAAATTTCTTGAGAACCCTTCGGTAACAGCTGATAATAGAAAAATAATTCCCTTAGGAATATAGAAAAGTCGCTCGAGACAATGTCGAAGCTGTCATTATTTATTCATAATTGCAATTCTTCAAAAGGGGAATCAACTCATTCTTACTTTGTACTTCGTTCAGTCAAGAGTTTGTTCTCTACTGGTAAAATATTCTTACAATGTTGGTTCTACCTCACAATCTAGCTCTCTTTCAATTAATTGGTGTATGGAGACCAGTCAATTGGTCTTTAGGATTGAAATATTTTTTTTACAATATTTACACGTTAATTGTGCTTGTTATGGTATTTTTAAGTGTGTTTACAGAGATAATTAAACTCATAGGATCTTATGAAAATATCGAACAACTTCTGCATAACTTAAAAATGTTATTAACCATGGTTGGAAATTTTGCTAAAGCTGTTAATCTTGTTTATAACCGTCAAGACATAGTGATGCTGTTGACAGATCTCGTTAGCTCTCCTTGCTTACCACGGAATCCAGAAGAACAATCAATCCAGTCTAAGTATGATAGAATCATCAAGTAAGTTTAATAGCTTGTGTCAGTTAATTATTATAAATCCAATATCACGATCAGTTGTTGGTTAAACTTCTGCTAATAAACTAGTCAATTTTTTAGATAAATTTAATTCAGTTTTTTTAAAATTTGCTAATTAAATTTACCTTTTTACAGGCTTAGAACAATGATAAATGTGATACTTGTGGGATCATCAGTAGGAATGGTGACGATGGAATCTATTTTCTGTGACATTTCTGATCATAATCTACCATTCAATGCTTGGTACCCTTTCGATGTTTCTGATTCTTACGGATATTGGATAGCATGGCTGCATCAAGCCTTGGCCCATATCTATGGAGCCATGATAACTGCTAATTATGATGTTTTCGTGCCTGCCTTGATGCTACAAAGTTGTGCCAAGTTTGATATACTCGACTATCGCTTGACTAATGCAGTGAACAAATTTTTTGGTAAATCATCCGACTCGAAATGTGATTATAACGAACGGGCATTAAGAGAGATTTTTGATTGTATTGGATTTCACCAAAAAATAATTGAGTTGAGTTGTTTACCAACATTGTTAGAATTTAGTCCACATAAATTCAAAAGAAATCAAGATACTTGTAATGATAAGCATCTGCATTATGGAAAAATGTATTACATTGTGTCACTTGATAAATTTTCATGTAATTTTAATCATCATTGATTCAATTGAAAGCATTGGTTAATATAAAAACTAACATACTTATATTTTTCAGTTTAAGCAATTTTGCAAACGATATTGTAAGCTCTGTAATATTCCTTCAATTTTCCATCAGTACTCAAGTTATTTGCGTGACGGTTTATAATTTATCAAAAACAAAAATTGACGATCCTTATTTTCCTGGGCTGGTTATATATCTTGCATGCATGCTTGTTCAACTTTTTCTTTACTGTTATGCTGGTAGTGAATTAACTTCAAAGGTACTTACAGGAGTAATTTTCATATTTGGAATTCTCAAATATTTCATCATGTTTTCATCTTTAAATTCACTTGAATTACCATGTGGTTTTATTAATCATTTTTTTATTAGCAGAACCATCAAAGAATAAATGTTTAAAAAACATTTCATTATGTTCAGTATATCATTAAATACAATTATTTTCCACCATAATATGATATAAAAAAAATATCAATAATATAATTAAATACCTGTCATGATCACTATTACTGTCCATCAATTTATAAAAAATGTTTCTAATCAATCATTTAATTCATGTGTTGCAGAGTGAAGATGTAGTTAAGTCTATTTATTGTAAAGCTAATTGGTATACATCAGATATCAGTGTTCAAAAGTGTTTATTATTAATGATGCTACGTTGCTCGCATACTGTCAAATTCACTTGTGGAAATATTATCTACTTATCCATTGATTCATTCAGCAGTGTAAGTTATTTATTCTCCAGCTTTTTTTTTCTTTAATTCATTCTCAACAATCTTCCAGGTTGTTAAATTATCGTATTCTATTTACAATGTTCTTCAATAAAAATTTTACTACGGAAGATCACGATGGAATGATACGAGCTAAAATAGAAATTCAATTATATTATAATAAGAATTGAATAAATAATTACCATAAGGCATTCTAGATTGAGAAATTATACGTAAAGATATGTTCAAGAAGTTGTTGGTAATAATAGGTGTAAAAATGGTTAAATTAAATAAATAAAAAAATTATTATCTGCACCGTTTAATTCCAAGTTACTCTGTTGGAAGTTGAAGACAAACTAAAGTATTATCACTCTTTTTCCATACTGACTTTTACGCATGCCTTCATTTATTTTCTATCTATTTTGAGGAGTACTGAAACATGCAGAAGTACATTGCAATTATCACCTGCATAATTAATTCCCCTTGCGACATTTTCTTCATTTCTTTGTTTTCCCTAGCATTCAGATGCTAAAATAAGAAATGTTAGAAAACTGTGAAGGGAATTGTGATGGGGTTGAAAATAGAGACGTTGAGACACGTAATACTGCATGCGTAATTGCTCATTAATTTTTAGTTAACAAATGAATTCGAGGGGGGATTTGACAGGTGGTTGAACTCAAGAAAGAATTGTAAGAAATGGCTCAAGCTTTTCTTTAGCTTTTGGTATTATCTTCTGACACGTTTATTCATTGTCTGTGTCTCATCATGACGACTCTTTTACCTGTGAGCTTTTTCATTCTAAAATATATTGGCCTGTGGCAGCCAGTCAATTGGACTCCAGGGTGGAAAACACGACTATATACCCTTTTTACTCTTTTTTCCTTTGTTATTTTGTATACTGACACGGGATCACAGGTTGTTGACGCTATCGAATCATCTCATAGTATTTCTGACTATGCAGATCACTCCTTTATTGCCTTAACTATGATTGGGATCTGTATAAAAATGGGAAGTATTGTTAAAAACAGGAAGGAAATTGCCGAGCTAATGGAGCTACTCTGTGGAGGGTCTTTTAAAACGAGAAACAAAGAAGAAGAGGAAGTTTTGAAGAGTTGTGAAACTATCATGAAGTAAGCTTTAATATTTTATAAAAGTGCATGCAATTAGAAAATTAATAATAAAATAAGTATAAATTAATTGATCTTTTAGAATGTATTGGAAAGTTTGCAATAAAATATTTAAATCTTTTGCTCATTAAATAGCTTTGAATAATTTTAAATAGATTATAATATTGAAATAAATATTTAAACAGTCCACAGTATCATGATTTTAGTGTTATAAAAAGTGAATTAATTTTTAGAATAAATGTTTTCAGTGTTAAAAATGTCATAACAGAAAGACAATTATGTTTGGAATTTATTTATTCTTTTCTAGCATTGAAACTCTCCACTTTTCTAATTATAGTTATCCAAGCACTGTTATTTATGTGAAAATTTATTATTTCAGATGGAGAACAATTTCCTTTGGCATTTTTGTACAAATGGGAACTACCAACCTAATTATCAGTTCTCTATTTTATCTTGCTCCCCATCGTATCACCATCACAAGGCTTTACCTGCCATGGGACACAAAAACCTTAGAAGGGTATTGGATAGCATGGGTACTTCAAGCAATATCCAGGTGGTTCGGTGGTCCTGTTAATGTAGCCTGTGATAGTCTCGTCTCCGGAGTCATGTATCGAGCTTCAGCACAATTTCAAATCCTGGCAATCCGTTTAAAGGATCTAGTGAAGCCTAGAAAATCCAAAAATGAAGGGAATGAAGATGTTAGAAAGCATGAATCGAAGATAATAGCAAGACTAGTGAAAGAACACCTGGAGATTATCCAGTTGAGTCGATCTATTCAACATCTTATAGGAGAGGATGGTTTAGTACTTTAGTAAAATTATCATGTTCTTTTCAGGATTATTTCTAAACTCAACGATATCTTTGGCTTTGTCATCTTTATGCAGTATTGCGTTAGTTCCACTGTACTTTGCGTTACCATATTCGTTTTTGCTGAAGTCAAGCAATTCGATTCACATTGCGCTATGATGATTACTTACACTGGATGTCTGTATTTTCAGATTTATTTACTGTGTTCTGCTGGATCGGAGATGTCTATACAGGTATTATACCTGTTTTTTAATCACTTTTGATAATTTTAACATTATTCTATAGTCAATTAGTCATTATCACATTAATTGCCATCAAAAGTGTCTTTTGAAAGTTGTTAATATTTCTGGTTTTATAAAAACAACTCTTAATTTTAGACTTGGGTTATAATAATGATGATAATCATTGAATCAATCTTTGATCAAAATAATAATTTGCTGTCTAGATACATCAAGTATTAATTATTTTTATGTTAATGAAATTCAATTGAATTTAAATTGCTTACGTAATGAACTGATTGTTATCTCCCTAAATTCTTTCATTACTTTGACCATTTGAATTTTTATTCAGAGTATCAACTTTGCTGAATACATTTATACATGTGACTGGGATGAATTAAAGATTGGTACAAAAAAGAGTCTGATGTTAATGATGATGAGGAGCCATCGACCTCTGAAATTCACCAGCTGGCACATGATTGAGCTTTCTATAGAATCATTCAGTCAGGTAATGTTAGTTAATACTTCTCATGATTACTTACTAATTATTTATGCTCATTTTCAGATTGTCAAATTTTCATATTCAGCTTATAATGTTCTATCACAAAAGAAATGATGAGATGTGACATTTCATTTATCATGTATTAACAGAAGCTGTTGAAGACAAAATGTTAATATTAGATGTAAAATGGAATAGTTTTAATTGTTAATTAGTAGTAAAAAATACACATATTGAGGTAAATTTATTTATTATTCTACGTGAAAAAATAAATGAGATCATTTTTTGCAATGATAATTATATTTGGTGATATTGATATCCATCCATTTATTTAAAAGGTAAATTTTAGGTTATGAAAGTTTTCTTAATTTAAAAATGTGCTGAGTGAATAAATAATATAAATAGATGTGTAAAATAGTAATACTGAAGATTTTTTTTTGATGGTCAAGTTTCTAAAATACTTGATACAATAACAACAAACATTTTAGGTTAATTTTACAGAAATACAAATCATACAATATAAGATGCAAATGGAGCATAAAGCAGTATTGATTCAATTAACAATTTAATTACAATTTCTACAAGTCAAAGATTTAAATTTTTTATCAAAATACTTAGCTGGATTAAAATTTGCATACTTCAATAAATATTTAAATAAAAACTAACCTAAATTTCAACGTATTTTTTACATAAAAATGATAACATAAATTATTAAAATTTAATCATCTTCATTCAATTGATAGAAATATAGAAGAATAATGTGTTTAATAATTTTGTATCAACTATTCCATAGTAGCAACTTATTTCCATACCACAGTTGATGAAAAGTACACATAAAATTCAAGTGTATAATTATGTAGATAATTATGATGATAGGTTTAATACAAAAGATAAAAATATTTACTGAAGAAAAAGAAAAACTTCCAAACACTTTGCACGTACGTCATATAATGCAGGTATAAGTTGAAATGTTCGAATTGTCCCCCCCGTCTGCGCACACTAATTTACGCAGTCGATAAAGTGGGGATGAATGCGTGCGCAAAGGCTTGCATGCCGGTATTCACACGAGCCGGCACTCAGTTTGCTTGGAGACGCCGTGAGCAGAGGGTGTGTTATTTGGTCAAGTAAAATTTAACCCTCACGTTTACGTCGTTATTTTATTTTTTATTTACTTAAAAGTTTAAATAATATTTGATACACGTCCGGATGTCTAATAAACAGAGTGAATTAAATTGTTTAGCGTGAAAGGCGTTTTTAACACGGGAGTTAATTGTGCGAATTCAAAAAGTGCTTTGACACAATGAGTGGATTATCATCATCTATTTGGTGCGTGCTGGTGGCGCTTTGTTGCATTGGATGGGTTAAAGTAGACGCAAAACTTAAGTGTGATGCTGTAAGGCCTTATTTTGAAGCTCAGGGTTTTCCAGCAAGTGACATCCCAAAGGATCCCATATCATGTAAGTAGCCTTTTATTCTCACGCTTGTCATGAGCTACATTATAAGCAACTTCCTTGCATTGAATGCATAATGTATCGTATAGAATATAAACTTTTATTTACATTTTTTTAACATATACATACATTCTCGCGACAATTGTATGCTTTTTTTCGGCCGAATAGAACCGGTTTATGCCAATTGAAGCATTTATTTATTATACCATGATGTTATCGTAACTATTTATCTCGACAATTGCAACTTTCGTTCATCATTACATTGATTAGAATTTAACGGAGATAAGAAGTGTAAATCTCGAAAGTGTTATCGGTTAATTGGTGTATAGAATTTCATACTGCCATTTATTTTTGGCAGTCTTCATTATTAATAATGTCGTATCAGTATTCACGTGCTGTAGAGCAATTGAGCTTTTCATTTGAATTAGTAATATCATGTTAATGATAAATACGTGATAAGATTTATTATATTATTTTTAGTGATTGATAATGATACTAAGTAATCGACATCTTGTTATTTAAGAGTCGTTTAAAATTTATCCCAAATTGGAGGTTAATTTTTTTCAGGTTTTTTTTTTGTTTACATCCATCATATTTTATTGAATAAATAAATCTTATGTTTAATAATTCAATAGAATTGATGGGCAATTGATTATTATTCATTATTACATAGTATTCCATCATCAGTTTATTTAATTAATATTGACAGTTACTGGGATGAGAAATGATGATTTTATATGAAATTCATTAACTATTATTTAATATAAATATTTATATATATTTCAAGCTGACTTAAGCTTAGAGATTGATCTTGATAGTCTATCATAATAATTATCAATCATTACTTATATATTAAAGACGAATATAAAATTTAAATTGTTATATAACATCACAGGTGGAAAAAATGGATAATTATAAAATTAATAGAAATATTTGTGGATTATTAATATTTGAGTAATGATAAGAATTCTTATAACTAAAAAAAAAAAGTTGATGATTAAGATCTTAAAAGAATATAACGTTGTTTTATTTAATCAAATGACTTAAATTTAATATTTTATTTGTAAATAATTAAGGATATAAATCATCAATTTTTTTTTCATTTAGATCCTGTTGCTACGCTGTTTTAAAATAAAGATAATCCTTCAAGTCGATTGTTTGTATTGGATGATATGATTCTTTTATTTTATCTGATCACATTATGATGTAATTTATTACTATAAAAATGCTTTTAGAACCCACGTGTATTATCAAATGCTTAAATTCGAGCGAATGTATAAAGTATATTGAGAGAACTTTATTTGTTTGTTTACTTCTTCAAGCATTCTGCTCAAATATTATTGATGACGTTCTTATTATTATACTTTTCGGAGAATTTTCAATTCTGCGTAAAAGTTGTCGAGTTCAATTCCGCAAATTTATTCTCTCGCTTTGATTTCTAAAAACAAAACAAAGCACGTCACAAAGTATCATTCCGTACATTTTTATTCTTCCACTAAAAATTTTTATTTAATTTGTTGATAAAAAGAAATTTTTTTTTTCAAAAGTTTTAAAATTATGTAATGATCTTGAAACCTAATAGGTCGATAATTAGTCAAAGAAAACCCACATTATAGCGTATTTGAAGTGGAGAAAAGGTTTGACCTGAAAGGTAGCAGAGCTTTAGTGAGAAAATAAATGCTTTTAGTGTAGAAGAGAGAGAGAAGGAAAAAAGGCAAACAATACATAACATAAAACAAAGAATTTTAGTTCAGAAAACGCAACAGGAACTTCACTTGTTATTGTTATGTAGCAAAATGTCCTTGATATATCCGGAAGCCTATGTAGATGGACTACGTCATAGGGTGAGAGTCAAATGTGCATGACGGATAATTACCAGGCTAATATTTGTTGACTGATTATTAGCTCGTCTTAAGATTCGTCGCGCTTTCGTAGCTTCTTGGAATTGGCAATTTTTGTTCCATGCTTGATTAAACGAAAGTTTGAGTTTAAAGGTCTACAAAATGATTTTCATTACGTATAGGAATAGCAAAGAGAGTATGTAAAACTAGAGTTGGACTCTGTTTTTAACTCCATAATAACTTTTTATTTCTTCATGGTGAATTTCCGGTACTGGGATAGAACTGAACTGTACATTGGTAAAGTCACCATCACAAAGGTGGATTTATATTTATTCTCAGGTATATCTGATATTTATGTGGCTTCTTTATCTAATCAATATCACCGGCGAATTGAAATAACAGAGCAATCTGGCTTTTATTCATGAGATATCGTATAGTTGAGACACAAATAAAGAGTATAATAGGGAAGGTCTGTTCTATTTCTTAACTCACAAGTTTGTCGATATGCTTTCGTGAATAATCTTTTCGTTTGACTTTACAAAGAGGAATATTATTCAATAATACAATTAAATAGATTTTTGTCAAAGGATAAATAAGTGGATTAGTACGTGATCGGATTTTAGTGATTTTGTAATCTATTGAAATATATTTATTTAAATACAATTATTAATATTATAATAATGTTATTAATCATTTATAAATTTTTTTTTTATATAACCCTCGTTTATGTGCGTCAGAATAATTAAATAATACTCATTACTTATTGTTATTAAATATTTCATTAATTCTTGAATTTAATTATTTAATATCCAGGGAGTATTTTAACGAGTGTTATTTAATGATGAGTTTAATAATGTAATAAATACTAAATGTAAAATTAACCTGTAAAAGTTATATTTAATAAAGAAACTTCAAAGTTAAATTGCAGATAAATGGGAAATTTTCCGCAATGATATTTGATATGAAATCGTTTAAACTTTTATAGCAAATAAGCTTATTAGAACATGTTGAAAGATAAAAGAAATAAATGAGATGAATCAGTATATCTAGTTCTATCCCGCATGTAAATGTAGAGAATAAAAATGCTTGTGTATTGTGTTTTATGTATATACATGAAATGATACAACCAATCAAGCTCTTTAGTTAGCGCGCGTTTGCCTGAAAGGGATTCGCGAATGTTGAAAGAGACCACAGAGCATAAAGCGAGCAGGTTTATTCTCTCACCCTCTTTCCAATTCCGGTAACGTTAAGGGATGATAGTGATTCTGAATGAAAATAAAAGAAAAAATATATAAATAAGAGTCAAAAAAAATTAAAGAAGCTTTTATAAGGTTTATATATCTATACATATAATTTTAATTCGGCTTCTTTGAACCGTTTTTACATTCAGTATCTTTTATTATTATTTTTTTATATTATATGTAAAAAAAACCCTTTTTTTATTTAAACGAAATTTATTTCTTAAGCTTTCTTTGAATTCTTACGTCTTTAAATGTTTTTTTTTTTAAAGTTCTAATTAATGAATTATGAATAATACATTTTAAAAATAAAATTTTTTCTCCAATTCATTGAATATTTTCTTCACAGTTGAATGACTTCTTCTTCTTCTTCTTTTCAATTTAAATGTATGAAAAATGAGTGAGAGTTAAAGACTTAATAAATACAAGAGTTACAATAATAAAAAAAAAAAAAATTCTCAATTGCTCAAAGGCAAACTTAAACAATTATAATAAAAAATACTAAATAAAATAACTATTTTTATATTTTTAAAATGTGATGTTAAAAAATTACAGTTTATTAACCTTTGACTAATTGTCTAGTTTCTAAAGTTCTCACTTGAAAAAGAAATTTTTTTAAATATTCAAACATGAATTGATGCTATGTTGCTATTAGAACTTTTAAAGACTAATTTATTTTATAAAAAAAATATTGAAATAGAAAAAAATATATCCCAATGATTTATACAATTTTTTAAATATCAAAATACACATAGATATCACACATGAATAAATAATGCCGACATTTAAAGTATTTTTTGCTTCAAAAAGGAAAGAAAAAAAATAGCAATAAATAATCCAGAGTATCGAGGCAATTAGACTGGCTATCATAGAGAGTAAATAGAATAAAGAAAGTATGTATCAGTATTTTCTACATTAATACTGACACCAATTTCCAAACGATTGAGTAATACTTAGAGGGATAATTAAACAGATACACGCGCAAAAAAAAAGATAGCAAAAAAAAAATTTAATAGAATGTTTTTGTACGATATTTTATGCGAATTTTTTGCATTCCATTTAGTGGTCGCATTTATTTGAATTTCACCTTCTCCTTTTGTTCTTGTCGCGCGTCAACAACGTACACCCTTCTTCGACGTAGTCCTGGGAACTGAACAAAGCACACACACGATTCATCGACCATAAATTCAGCCTGATTCCTCGGACGAAGCAACAGAAGAGAGGTTCACGCATAGATATATAGAACATATATATATATATATATAAATATGTATAAAGAGGGAGAGAGGAACCTCGCAAATCAAGCAGACCTGAAACTCGGCGAATAAATCCGTGGCCATTCGCTCGACTTTCGGATTTATATTTATCGTTTCTACGCCATATCTCACATTTATCATCAGCATAAAATCGAAAAGATTTACTTTTCTAACTCGTAAATGTCTCGATACTTTTTTATTACAAAAAATAATTATTTTTTTTTTTTTCGAAATTGTATAACATCTAACTATTTATTTGTGTCGTAAAGCTATCATGGGAAAAATATTTATTGAGTTATTTTTGTGATACAGCAGTTATTTTTTTCAACTATTATATTTATATTAGAATTTTTTGAAGGCTTTCAAATTAACTAATTGTAACTAATTAAGAAGGAATGAATTTTGCACCATTTTATTGATAGGATTAAATTTAAAATTATAATAAATTGAAAAATTATATTATTTATTTTTATTATTATTAATTAATAAAAAAAATTTCGTTTAATTATTTTATTAAGATCAGAGTTGAAAATTGTTTAACGATAAACGTTGTTGTAAAGTGACTTTTTATGGGATTAAATGATAAAAAACTTATGAGAATATTTTTAAAGCTTTATTTTTGTTAATAGTTGGAATTTTTATGTACAAAGGTAAACGTTTATTTGAATGAG